CCAAGCGTCGTATATCCTGCCAGTATCCAGCTTGTTCTTGAACAGCTCGCTTTCTTCCTGGAGCTTGTGGCCCTCGGCATGTAGAGTCCAGTCGGGTCCAAGGACGGCCTCGACCTTTTTCATGTATCCGTCAAGCTGGAGCTCAATCTGACGAGCCCAAATGATGGCACCCGAGACTGGTGGGAGATCGCGAAGCTGCGCCATGGCATGGGCCTCGGAATGGCCATACTGCTGCTTGAACCTCTCGTGCAGGCCATTGATAGCCTGCTTGACGTGATCCATCAGCTGGTTCTGGTACTCTTGAATGGCACCACGAATCTTGGGCCGCACAAAGAGGGCGTTGAACTTGGAAAAGACTCGGAACATTTCGTTGGCAGTCTTGGCCGTGGCAAGGCGGTCACGCAGCCTCGCAATGATGGAGTTTTCGACTCGCGTTGTGCGCTCATTGTACAGGTTTTCGGCCTGCGCCCACCGTTCCTTGCCCTGGTCCGTCACATCCAAGAGGTCGACATTCTGCAGCGCTTCCCAGGCTCGCTTAACCTCCTCAACTGCATCTACATCGCCCATTTCCTCAATGACGGCGCCAGCAGTAGCAGTGGGGTTGGCCGAGGAGGAAGTAATGTCGACAACGCCGGGAATGATGGCCTTTGGCCCCAAAACGTTGACAATGGTCCTCTGCAGCTGTTCGTGGTTGTCTCGGAATGCGCTGACATACTTGATTCGCGACTCCAGCTCAGAGTGGTTCTTCTCGACGTTGATGGGAATACGCTTCTCGTTTCTGCGGATGATGAGCATACGGGCCAGGTGCGTAAACTCCTTGATATTGTCCTCCCAGGCAACGAAAATGCTGTCGCATGTTCGCATGACATTCTGAAATTCTGGGTAGCCCAGGTTAACCAGCTCGGTACCCGGAAGCAAACGAAGCAACACGTCGTTTAGATCCGCCGAAATAGCCTGAGCCAAGCTCAGCGCTCTCCGAATGGGATACGGGCACACCCTCAGCTTCTTCATCAAGTGAGCAAAGATCTGAGTAATGGCCTCCTCCACCTTGAGCAGAGACGGGGCAGACAGCAGCTCGTCGAGCGGAAAGTCGCGCATCAGCTGGTTGTACTTTTGCGCCTTTTCCTTGGCCTCCTTCAGGCCCGTATCAGCGACGAAACTAACCGTGGCCTGGAAACGCTTCGCATGCTTCAATACGTCGAGGGTCAGGAGGACACCTTCGCTCCTAAGCTGGTCCTCAATACCCTCCAGCGCTGACTCCATGGACAGCCAAAAGTTGACCTCTTGGCTGGCGGTGCTAAACTCTTGAACGGCGTTGGACGAGGTTTCTTTTGTCAGTTTGGTGATGCCCTGGATGGACTTGATCCAGGTGTTGACGTTGGCCTGCAGCTTGTTGAGAAAACTGCTGTCTTGTAGAAGATTCTTCGGAATCGCCTCCATGGAGGGCTTTGTCTGGGTGACCTCGGCATCATCGAGGACATTCTGAATAAGCGAGTGGAACGCCAGAGAAATCTCAGGGATGTCGACGTTTTGCTGCAGATGGAGCAGACTCAGCTCCAAGTCGTTCAACCGCTTCTTGGTAACTGGAATACCCGTCTTCGCATCGACATCTCGCCCCCTGGACCCGTTGGCCAGCTGCTGGCTCTTGCTGTTTGCGTCAAAGTATGGCACCAAGGCATGGTGGACTTGAGAATGGAGCACCTCCCACGGGGAGAGTGCAACGCCCTGCTCTCCCGAGGCGGCATTAAGGGAGGCAGGACCAGGTAGATTAGTAATAAATATTTGAGAGGTAAGAGGACGAGAAGGATCAATCGCTTGCGATGCCTTGAGCAAAATCAAAGTGGCGACAGTAGTAGGTGTAGAGGTGATTTCGGTCGAAAGAGTGTAGTCGTAGGTAGAGGGAGCTTATCACAAGCGTCAGTCAAAAGAAAACAAAACAAAAGCTGCTATAAGAAAACAACAACAAGGAAATGGGGGAGTCGGGGGAAGAGAGAGAAGTACAGAAATCCTCACCAGCAACGCCATTGCCATTCTCGCCCGCGTCTCCGTTTTCGTTGCCGTTCTCCAGCGACCCGGACTGAACCACGTCCTTCTGGATATACAGCACATTGAGCGTATCGTTGGCGAAGCGCGTGCACCGCGAGATGGTCTCTGCATACGACGCCTTGTGCAGCAGGTTGCCCGGCAGCTCCAGGTCGCTTCGCGATGCGCCCAGGGCAATCTCGCAAATGGCAGCGAGGTGGTCAACCACGCGTTCGGGCTCGATGGTCGGGAATGGCGTCGGCGTCGGTGAGGGCGACGAGGGCGCCGGGATCGAGACGCCGTTGCCGTTGGAGGCGCCGAGGCTCGGGGCGTTGGCCGAGGTCACTTCCATGGCGCGAGCGTCGAGTTGTGGAAGAGACCGAGAAAAAGAAGGGGACAAAGGGAGCTTCTATGTCGAGAAGCCGGTCATCTCCAGAGACGTCGGGTTCGGGATAGGTTTCGATGGTGGGGTGTCGAGGTCGCTCGTTTGCTCGTTTATCGGGGGGCTAGAAGGAATGTTGGCCAGGGGTTGTGTGGAGAGGGGCTCAGGCAGAGGAACGGGACAAAAGGAAGCTCGACAGGGGGGAAAAGAAGTACAAGCAGTAGGTAAGGTAGAAGATGAAGATGCTATTCGCGTGCAGTTTGGGAGCTGTCGTGAGTACAAAGCAGGAGGTTTCACAAGGAGAGATGCAGGCGTGGCGTCGCTGCACGTTGAGCTCGTACCTTGGCAGAAGTAGCTCGAGGTACTGTACCGCAGTGTGAGTACACCGACACAGAAACACTCCGAGATTCCGGGGTCTCGCTCTGTCACAAGCGAGCAAAGAATCGACGTTGGTCTGTACAGGGGTTCAGAGTTAATCGCGAAACGAAAAGACGAACAAGACAATGCTAGTGAAAAGAAGCAGAGAAAGTGAAGTGCCGTTGATGGAACGAATAGGAGGCTCACCGCACAAAGACAGAAACATGCATCTGATCCAGTCCAATCCACAAAAAGGTACTCCCGTACAGTAGCAGCTACACTACAGTACATGCAAAGTGCGCTACAGCACAGGCACAAGCCCGTCGAACTGAAGCTAAAATGGCCCCAACCTCCGGTTTGCTCGACCCCAAACAAGCCCAAACCCAAATGGAGGGACCCCTAGTTCCATGTCCAGTGCTAGTCCTGCTGTAGTCGCTGTGAATCAATCAATCGTCAGGCGGTGGGACAACAAGCTGCCAGCGCACGCGGGTGGGGGTGGGAGCAAGGTCGAATGCGTGCCTGATTGGCTGGAGGCGTGGCGTTTTGAGGGCCATTGTTTTTGGTGTTTTAGTTTTTTTGTGGATGGAACAGAAAAGGCGTTGATGTAGAGAAGATCCCAGTCGAGTGAGCATCAGTCAATTATTCGTAGTAGAGGTTTGAAGTTGAAGCACTTAATCATCGGGTACACGTACATGAACCAATATATACATCCATCTGATATACTATACTCCTAATATCTACCCCAAGAGTTTTAGTGGACGGCAACTAATAGTAGAGCTCAATCTCCATAACACTATTCCATCACTCCCTATTCCCAGCAACGCCTCCTCATACGTGGAATCCCTCACCAATCATCCAAACATCATCTAAAATACTCATCTCATCGGCTGTCCCATCTCCCAATCAACACCACACAAACCATTCAAACCCCTCCTCTCCATCACCCCTTCTATAAGAAAAATCACCCGTACAGTATCATTCACCTACAAACAAAAACCACCCCGGGCCACCAAAAGACCAAACCTAAACCCAACCTTACCTTACCTCCATACCATCCCGCAACTCCCGTCCCCTAAAAACACACACACCTCCCCTGAAAGAAAAAAAAATTCCCCAACCACACGGGGTGCGTCTACCGGGTAAGGGTAACTCGACACCACATCTCCCATGCAGGAATAAAACCGCAAAACCACACCCTCCCTTTTAGCAAACCCATCCATTTCCATACGGCCACGCCACATCTCCTTTTCGACTCAACCAACGTCTTTTCTTTATCTTTTTCGGTATCTCGATATTAACACTCCACCTTTATTTTCTGGGACAAAGCTACGTACGTACGTGCATATTAATTAGCTGTACCACGTTACAGGGTGCAGATATGTGGTCCTCGTCTCAATAAGGAAATAGAGGTATGCATATAAATTGAGGTTATATATTCCATAGACAGGTGGTAGATAGGGTCAATATCAGCACTCTCACAGTGCATATGTACGCATCCATTCATTCACCATCCCATTCCAAATCACTCCCAAACATACTGTTGTACCTTTCGCGACAATCTGGGTATGCTGAGGCCGTATCAGTCTGTCTCATTTCTCTTTGCGTGCTATTTGCGGTTTCTTCACATTTTCGCCTAGCACTGGTCTAATTCTCTCAAAATGGTAGTCTTCCGCATACCCACTGATGAATCTCGACTTCAGGCTGTCATCGTAAAGCAGAGCAGCCAAAAACCAGACAAAGAACCGAAAGAAAGATCCACGTCCACTTAAAAAAAACCATTGAGTTCATCATTCAAACATTGACCCTTAAGTAAATTCTACCAACGTAAAACTACCAATTGCTTATCCATCAACATAATCCCCCCCTTCATCATCCTCAAGACCAGGTTTACATATTTGACGCCCCAACAGCAAAGAAAAAGAACAAGAGTAGAAAAAGTTAAAACTGAAAAAGGAAACGACCTCAATGCAAAAAAGGCCCTCTTGATTTAAGTCTCTGGACAGGTCGGAAATGAATCCACCTCCTCTGATAGGAAAAGAAAAAAGAAAAAAGACAGAAAAGCAAAAGAAAACGATCCACAACGTCATATACTTGCATAAAGACACACAGAAAAGAAGTCATAAATGAATGAAAAACCAGCACACCATACCGTTTCTTAACGCCTCTCCGTATGTAGACTTTAGACTCCGTAGAACCGGAACGACCGACTGCTCTCCAGTGTGCCCCTTTAATGTATATCTCAAAGACCGATACGCCAGGAGGAGGGAAGAAGGGGGGGAGGTTGAGGAGGGGGGAACAGGCAAAACGCAAAAGCAGAGGAGGCTTAAACACTCGGGTTGCCACCGCCCGCCGCGCCGCCTTCAGGACCAGCTAGCCTTTCTCTCTGCAGAATGACCCTGCCGTTACAAATGTCGATAAACATTTCAAACTTTTCTATCAGCTTGTCCTTTTCCGCCATCTTGGCCTTGAGGTCGTCAATCTCCTTTTGCTTCTCCTCTTCAATCTTTTTCAAGTCTTCGCGGGCCTTGGCGAGCTCGCGCCTCAGCTCGGCTCGTATGCGGTCTTCGGGCGACTGCAACGGCTTGGTGTATATGGCCGGCCGGTTCTCCGCCAGGCCCGTGGCTACTTTCTGCGGATTACGGTTAATGGCAGCCCGCGCGTTGTAAATGTCCCTCGGTAATAAGTGGCAGTCAGGATTATCAGTTTGGAGAATCTGCAGTGTTTCAGATACGCCTGCACCTACACGAGGGATCGGTTAGCGAGAATTTCTGCCCAACAGGCCTTCCGCCTCTCCCCTTTTCCACTCCCCTAATTCTTCAACATTTTTTGGAGATGAATACTAACCACTATCTTTTAGTTGCTTCACAGCGGCAACCATCTTACTGTCGAGCTTTCTGGCTGCAGGGTGATTTGACGGACTCTCGCTCGGTCCATGGTTATGCTGCAAATGCGAAGGGTCCGGCCGGTAGCGGATAGTCCACTGAGTTCGCTGCTCAATGGCAAAGAAGCCAAAGGGACAATCGCATTTTCTCGACGATGTCTTACGTTTTCTGAACTCGGGGCTGACCCGGCTTGGTGGCTTGCCGGCCCGGTCACAAACGAACAGGACCTTTTTCAGGCCTGGCACCGTCTTCTTGGATCGTCCGATGACGATGGCATAGCCAACGGAGGTGCAGTAGCGCAGGACGGCCTTCTGAACCGCTTCGAGCGTGGGATAACTGCCGCCTTCGGGAGGTGGTGACATCATCTCTCCCAAAGGCTGAGTGGCTGCCAATTGATCATTCATCAGCTTTGACGGCGCCAGAGTGCTGTTATCGTCGTCTCCATCCGGTTGACCGTCCATATCCAAGTCCTCTCCCGCATGGTTATCCTGCTGCTGCTGAGAAATGGGTTCAGGCTGCTGAGCAGCAGCTTGTAACTGCTGATGCTGTTGTTGATGCTGCTGTTGCTGATGTTGGTGCTGTTGATGCTGCTGCTGCTGTTGTTGTACTTGCTGCTGAGCTTGGTGCTGTTGCTGCTGGTGTTGCACTTGTTGGACCTGGTGCTGGACTGGTTGCGGAACCGGCTGTGGCACCTGCTGCTGCACCGGCTGCTGAGCCTGGGGCTGTGGAATTTGCAATTGTTGCCGCGAAGATTGCTGCTGCTTCACCTGTTGTTGCTGTTGCTGTTGCTGCTGTGCCTGCTGTTGCTGTTGCGCCTGCTGCTGCTGTTGTGCCGCCTGCTGGGAGCGGGACTGGTGTACATGATGAAGCTGCTCCTGATGCTGGTGCTGGGCTTGCTGCTGAATCTGCTGCGGTACCTGGTGCGTCTGGTGCGTCTGATGTGTCTGGTGAGAGGCATGAGCCGCTTGGTGAGCCTGAGGGTGCTGAGCGTAGGCAGGATGGTGCGGCTGCTGATGGTGCTGCTGCTGTTGCTGCTGCGGGTGATGCTGGACCTGCTGAGCCTGTTGCTGTTGTACTGCCTGCTGCTGCTGAACCGCCTGCTGCTGTTGCTGGTGGTGCTGCTGCTGCGCGTGCCCCGGATGGCCGGCCAATGCCTGCTGAGACGGATGCTGCTGCGGGTGCTGCGGGTGGTGTTGCGGATGGTGCTGGTGAGAGAGGATAGAGTCGTGTGCGACAGGCTGGCTCATCGACGTCGGGAAGAGCATGGGCGGCGGGTTCGGCTGGGCCTGCATCTGCTGCCGCGCCGGAGCGGCGCGCTGCTGTCGCGGCAGGGCATTGGGGACGTGGATGTTGGGCGCGCGCGACGAGGCATTGGCGACGCTTGCGTTGACCGACGCCGGCGTGTTGAAGAGGTGTTGCGGATAGCTCTGAGGCGGCTGCTGCGGCGGATATGCCTGCGACTGGTATGGCGAGGCCGCCTGAGGCGCCGGAGACTGTTTGTTGGGCTGGTTCGGGTGGGCGGGAGCAAAGCCGGTGTTGCGTCTGCTGAAGGACGACTGAGGGAAACTCAGGCCGTGGGGATTAGGCCCGGACTGGCCCAGGTTGGCCATGATGAGCTTCTCGTGGTCGGTCGGAGGAGAGGACCGGTCGGTCGGTCGCCTCGAGTCGCGAAAAAAAAAATATTAAAAAAATAAATAACAAAAATAAAAAATAACGACAAGCACGAGCACGGCCCGGTCGGCGTCAGGGCGTGTCGTCGTCAGCCGGACCGGTCGCGGCTCTACGATCGATCGATCGCGACGGTCAAGCGTCGACGACCGACGTTCTGGCAGCGCAGCGCCTTTGGATCTTGGATCTTGAGATCTCGACGTTGTCCTTCGTCCTTGTGCTTCCTGTCCGTCCCTCGTTTCTATCCAGCAAACCCGGAATCCTGGTTCGGGGGTGTCGTTAATGGGGCTGGCAGAGGCGTGCAAAGCGTGGAGGTGCGCGCTGGGTAGGAGGTGTGGGCAGAATGACCAGAGAGAAAAAAAAAAAAAAAAGTGCGAGCAGGCAAACTGCTGGTGTGCGTTTGGGGAACCTTGGGGGGTTGAGAGAGGGGGTTTGTTTTGAAGAGGGGGGGAGAGGGGGGGGGGGTTGATGTCAAGCAAGATCTAGTCGATGGGGGCAAAAGTTTTGCTCTTCTCTTCTTCCCGTCTGCTGACTGAGCCTTCGGTTCTGAGCGCTGAGAATTTTTCTTTCTTTTCTTTTTTGTCACTTTTTTCCTTCTCTGCTCTCTGCCTTTTACCTGGCCGGCACAGGCGCTGGCATGGATTTGCGATGGGCTGGGTTTATTATGGGCTGGGCGGGCAGAACCCATCCGTTGTTTCTCACGCCCAATTCGCCAGCAGTGACAGGGGGTTGCGTTTTCCCTTCGGCACTGCCCCCAGCTGCTGCCTGTGATTTGTACCGCTACCTAGCCCCGAGGTACCCTTCCAAGTCTCTTTCAGTGCTCGTACATCCACATCCATGCGATCCATTTGCTGTGATGACATCGGTTACACAAAACATCCAGACTCCCACTGTACGAACCCTGTCCTTCCGCTCGGAGCATCACATCGCTTCAGGTCAGGTCGGGTCAGGTTCAGGGTCCGGCATCGAGCAAACGGGATGCTGCTCAGCCCTATCTATCCGCCACATCGAACGCGCATCTCCATCTCCATCTCCCCCCCCTCCATCATCCTTCAGATTCCCTCGACATGCTCCGTCCAGGTATCCAAGCTGAGGTGTACGGGTAGCACACGAGTCACTGATACTGTACAGCACTGCAGCACTGGGCGGTCGGTACTCCGTATTGCGGCCTCCTGTACTTGGCATGCCGGTAGCGCGACCGTCTCGAGTACCGCTACCTGTTGTCTCTGATCCGGCCACCATGCAGGGCCTTTGCTGTGCTTTGTCGTCATACCTCGCATCCCAACCCCTACCTCACCTTCAGGTTACCTGTACTTTTCGTTTCATACCGTACGTGCCAACGTGCCAAGTATAGCACACACAGAAGACACGCATCCATTCGCATCCCATCCCGTACAAGAAAAACGCCGTCGAATCACCTCGTCCAAAGTCCGCCTGGCCACCTTGCGCCTGCGCCATGTGATGTCAGCCTGTCAAAACTTACGTGAGCCTCTGCCCAATCCCGCCGCGAGCTGCTCCGTCCTCTTAATGGCGTTCTGTCCAATCCAGCCGTGAGCTGCTTGTGCTTTTTAATGGGGTGAAGCCTCTTCGCCCAATCCCACCGCGAGCTGCTGCTCCGTCCTTTTATTGGGGTGCCAATCTCACAAGCGCCGCAGAGACACAGTGTCCAAGTTCCCGCCACTCAGCGCGCCTTTTACCCGCGCCCAGGGCCCCCCAGAAAAGCAGAAAGCAGAAAAGCGGAAGCGGGAAACTCGAAACTTGTTGGTCACCTGCTGGATCCAGCCGTGTGAAAAAAAAAAGTATGGGAAATTCCGGCCTGGATTTGCGATCCGAAGCGACCAAACAACCCTGGCATGCAAATGCGGTGGACCCCAGCTGAGATGCCTGACATGTCTCACCTTTTCGCTGGTACATACTGATACTTGGCTGCTCTGTCCCAGCCTGAGCTACGTACTTGTACTCGCCAAAGATTGTGCGATCCGTCAAGAGACCCGTTGCTTCGTCTATAATAGGCTGTATCGTAAACTCGTACATGTGTAGTACCTTGCGCTGCCCCCGTACGTACATACAAAAACTGTAGCTCTGCTGGCAACCAAAAAGAGAAAGGAAAAAAAAAAGCCAGTTCTGTCTCTGTTTCTCGCTCTCCCTTCGCCAAGTATGGATTCGGCTCGACCACACGGCCCGTCAGCATCCAGACCACTCCAGCGCTGCCACACTAATCCTCTTTCTGATCTGCATTGCATATGCATACAAATTCAATAGTATGGCATCTCTGCCGACTATAAAGGAAAAGAAAGGAAATCCAAAAGCTAAAGGGAATGTAACGAGAAGGAATACTAAAAAGATACGCAAGAGGTAGACAAGGAGATGGAAGATGAAGAGAGTAGGAGAGATGATCAAGTAAACGACAAAAAAGAAAAAAGAAGAAAAAAAAAGACATCGTATATCGAAGAGAGACGGGACTGCTTCTTGCGCTGGCAGCACCCCATACGTCACCTCCGTTCCCCTGCAGGGTAAATGCCCAATGCCACCCAACAACACCGGTTGACCGACACAACGCTCTCGGTATGTCATGTGAATGTGGATGTGGATGTAAATGTGAGTGTAACCCACGCCGCCCGTCGTTATGCTCGTGGATATCAAATCATTGTATCGCGTCTTTGGCCTGGTTCCCATATATACGCCTCGCCTGCTCTTGCTGCTCATGTAAAATGTCCAAACATGTCTCAAATGGCCAACGAAGAAAGGAAACAAAACAAGAATGAGAGGGTATGAAAATAATGAAAAACACGTAAAAAAAGATCATGAACAAAGGAACGTAAAATCATTCGCCGCCGACGCCGCTGTCTGACGGACGCTTCCGTTTGCGCGGCCGCCGCCCCTGCTTCTCCTCGTCGTCCACGAAGTGATTCTTTTCAATCTGGTGCTGCCGCAGATTGTCCGCGCGCTTGCTGTACTGGCTCGTGCAGCCCGGGTAGGGGCATCGGAAGATTTGGGGATTGTCGCTGTGTATCGTCCTCATGTGCTTGGCCATGCTGCCCACGAACCACCGGGGGTCGCCCTTGGGTCGATAGCCGCAAAGCTTGCAGCAGCTGTCGGATTCCACCTTGGTCGACGATGCCGATGCCGATGCTAATGCCTCTGCCTTGTTGGGCGTCGATGCAATCGGGGATATCAGCACATCGTCGTCCACCAGCGGCAGCGCATCAGCGTCCATAGGCCGAGGCGCTGCAGGCGTGGCTATGGCGGCGGTGCCGACTGTGACAAATGCGGCATCTCCTGGTGTCCACCGCGAGGCTCCCATGAGTGGGGCGCCGGCAATGGCCGCAGGTTCGGCAACATCGTCGTCCAATCCTTGGTCCGGATTGAAGTCGAGCATTGAGCTAAAGTCAATGTCGAAGCTGTTTGGTACTGGTACCACGCCCACGATTCCATTGAGCGCTCCGGAAGACGGCGCCGATGACTCAACTCCGGCCTCCGCAATGACTGGGTTCCTGTTAGACTCCTTCATCAGCAGCTGAATGCCGCATCGGTGGTACGTCGACCGCGAGCTGAAAAACGGGCTTTGCGTGTACAGCGAGTCGGTCTGCCGCCGGACGACTTCGACATATTCGCTAAAGAATGCGTCGGGAGGTAGGTACGTCTAGATGATGTTACCCCTGGTTAGTTATCGTTGCATTCTGTATTTTTGGAAAATAAAAGTGGCTCTATATCTCACCCTTCCGGCCTGCATCAGCTCTAGCTCCAAGCGACGCACGGTTCCCACCTCGCCAGAGTTGATCTGGCCAATGAGTCTTTGCATGCGGCGCTCAAACCCTGGATAGTGAGAGTATTCATGAGAAAAGATGTTGTCAATCATAAACCTGGCTGCAATGGCGAACGGTGAATTGTGGCTAGCTCCGAGGCCGTCTTTGTGGTGTTGCATGGCAAGTTCAGAGGCCTGTCCCGTATAGCTGCTGTCGTTGATGGCCATGTACTCGAGCTCTATAGTAAAGCACACACATAGTCACACATTAGCATCTTGAGCAAAGGGAAGGAAATAGACGGGAGGGTTGAGTGCGCATATGTACCATCTAGGAAGTAGGCCGCAACCAGTATCAGCGGGTCAGACCTTGATCCTTGAGGGAACCGTTCGGGCTGTTTGCCCTTGGACATGCCGACACTGGGTGACTTCAATAGTGCAATAATCTCGTCATCGTTTACTTGGCTGGGCTTCCAAAGTGTATAAACAACCTCGATGAATGATATCTTGTCGTCGTCGGAGAACCAATCGCTGTACAGCAATGCTTGCTTGAACATGGCAGCAGAGTGCTTGGCGACATCTTGTTCGTGAATCACCAGAGATAGAGAGAAGACGACGTGGACGAAGCAAATGAGGTTCAGAGGCGATGAGGCTTGGCGGCCTTCCAGGATCTCAGTCATGGTTTCCAAACCAACAGCCGCGATGGAGGAGAGGGACATCTGGTTGAGCTGCATGAAGATGGGGTTTTCATTAATGACATCGAGCTTGCTGATTGAATCGGCAACATGCTCGCGGAGCGTGTCATGGACTGATCTGGCCAGAGACTGCGTGGTATTACGAGTGGTGGTTGTGAGGCTGGAGGAATTGGTATTCTGCATGAGACTTGGCTCAGTGTTACTGGTAGCTTGTTGTTGTTGTTGTTGTTGTTGTTGTTGTTGTTGTTGTTGTTGTTGTGAAGGAGGAGGTGGCGGCGGCGGTGCAAGGCCATAGTCGACACTATCGGTCGAGGGTAGCTGAGGTTCCAATGGGAGCTGGAAAGGAATATCGGTGTTGAAGGAGAAGGCGGCCTGGTCCAAGCTCATGGGCGCCTGTGTCTTTTGAGGATCCATGGTGGAAGGCAAGTCAAACATGGGAATGTCGGCGGGAAGCTCTGATGGGCACGAGTTGGCCACCATGTTCTCAAACTCCATGTTGCTAAAGGGAATTGGTCTCGTCGAGGTGGTGGTACCGTCAGCAGTATTAGTAGTAGCAGTGGTGGTGTTGTTTGTCGAGAAGGGACCGACGGGCAGGAGGCTCTGAGGACTGATGAGGTCGTCAGGTGACGTCAAGGCAGACTCGAAGCCGGACGTCTTTGTCCATCCGTTGGACCAGCCCGACATGGGCGAGATGTTGTAGCTGGCGGTGCTATCAGTGCTGTCGGTGCTGTCGGTGCTGCTGGTGGACCGGACAGAGGAACTCGGGGCCAGCACCTTGCTGCGTCGTCTCCCTTGGCCTCGGTACTGGTCCAGGTGGGTGTTGACCTGGAGCGTTGGGCGATCGACCAACCGTGATGTGCTGGACTTCATTAGGCTTTGAGGTGCCACGGTCTGGGGGGAAGGTGGTGAAGGCCTCCAATTTATGAAGTCTGCTTCCATAGTCGATGGCAGCGGCACGGCTCCCGGGTGGGAGCCTGGTGGTGAGATGGGGAATGTGGATGGGGGGAGACAGGGGATCATCCCAGGGGCGGGTATAGGCTCAGTCTCGGTCTCACACTCCGGGATAGTGGGGAGCAGCACCTCACTCGAACCGATTTCATGTATCTCGTTCGAGGAGAGTTCGGCCTGGGGAGGCGGAGGCGGAGGCGAGAAGAGCACATAGTCGTAGCTTGGGGGCTCGTCTTCACCCCCGCCAGCGCCAGAGCCGCCATCGCCCACTCCCACGCCCAAGCCGCCCATGCCCATGGAGGACGCAACCAGCGCCAGGCTGTGAGACTTTGGCTTGTGGCCCAAGGAACTGAAGAAGCTCTTGGCCATGGTCATGATCTTTCTCCTCTTGGACGGGTGGCCCAGACAGCGCCTGCACTTGACATCGCTGAGCTGCTCGGGCTTCTCGCAGTCATAGCACCAGTACTCTCCGCCGGCGAGGTGGTCGCAGGAATACAGGTGTTGCAGCATGAGCTCATGGTTGGGGAACCTCTTGCGGCAGCGCAGCAAGGGACACTCCCGCCGCTCTTCGGAAGTCATCTTGGGGCAGGCATTGCGCTTGACGGCTGCCCATACGATGAACCTGTACAAGGCACACTCGTCGCTCGAAGTGTTGCGTGAGCTTCAGGGGAGCAAGCAAGAAAAACCCGAGAGTCAGTACGTAGCACATGAAACAAAAAAACATTAAAAAAAAAAGACAGAAAAAAAAAGTAGGGAGGCGACGAGGCGGAGCAGAAGGAGAAGAACGAGGATATCAACTAATCGTTTGTCCTGGTCTTGGCCAACCAACCTCCGTCTCCTTGAGGTTTTCCGTCAACAGGGCTTTCTTCACTTACACACAGGAAGTTGGCATCTCGCCGTCGACTGACGAAGTCACTGAAGATGTTGAGCAGCTGCTGCTGCTGGAAGAACATGAAGCACTTGTCGACGAGCGCCTGGGAGCCAGACGACTGCCGGTTGGGCTTCGGACCAGACGCCGTAAGGCCAGGGCACCAGGGTCGTCGACTTTCTTGTTCTCCATGGCGGTCTGTAGCTATGCCCTTGACTCTTGTGCTTGGTGGTCGTAACGGGCCCGGGCATAAGGGTAAGGTGCCGTAGGGCAAGGTACAGACGCAGGCTTCTCCCAACCAAGGGGCCGTTGTTGTGGAGATTGGTCCTGAATCGGGGGGTTGAATAAGATCCAATACTGTATCAGTACAGACAAGTGGCAAAGTGTAAGAAAGACGGGCAGGTCGAGGCGAGCTGGCCACCTTTCAGGCACCGTCCATGGTGTTTTTCTTTAATCGCATGAGCATGAGCATGAGCCAGAGCTGGAGCCTTGGAGGCAGCTTGCCAACGGTCCTACAAGCACGGGCGAATGAGGTCTAGGACTTTGCTTCAAAGCTTAGTAGGACTCGCGCAGGGGTCTCTCTGGGCCGGCTTGGTGCATGCCCACCGTTTCCGCGGCTGATTCTCGATTCGCAAGGCGACCAAGAGGAGGGGGGGGGGACCAAGGGATCCTCCTGATGGGCCAATTCTTGTCTTTGCCAGGCTGATCCCTGCGCGCTGCATCCCAAATCGGCCCCCCGACTGTGGCTTGAGGCCAAGTACCCTTTGGAGACCGGGAGTGCATCGTGTTAGTGCTCGTACGCAAGGCACCGGAGTAGCAGCGATGACGGGCTTGTTGCGATGACGAGGGCATCACGAGGACCGCCGCCGTTGTCGAACTTTTTTCTTCATCATGGGCTTGGTATCTCTGGGCATCTTGATTTGATCACGACAAGCATCGCCAACTCCGTTAGTGCCCGGGATATTTACGTGCCGTGGAGTGCAAAGTGTAAGAAAGGGTTTGGTCGTTGGAGGGCTTAGTTCCAGTAGTTTTGCTCGTGAACGCTCTGCTCTGGGCTTAACCGAGGGGCAGCTGCGCCACATCCAGGTACAAGCAGAGATAAAGCTGAGGCGCAGAGAGCCGCTAGTATCTGACCATTGGGGCCCAGCATCAGATCAGGGAAGTAAACAAGTAAAGTACAGGAGTAAGTACTTTGCAAGTAATGCTGCCAGCAAAATGACGTTGACGCCGTCGTTGTTGTTCATTTGCCATCATTACGTCTCTGCAGTATCCCATCTTTCTGCTTTCGGTGTCTGTTGTCTCAGATTCGATCACGAACGGAGCCTTCTTCACACCCACCTTGTTTTTGTTATTTCCCTTTTTCTATTTTGACTTCTCCTTACTTCCTCGACACACGTTTACAGGTTGCGTACTAACTACTAACATGATACTACCCAACCACCAAGCAAAAAATACAGGGAGCAAAAAATCACCTACTGCACGCACACAAGAGCCTCCATCCCCTCTCTCCCCCCCAACCGTTTTTTAGAGCCTCCAACTTTCTTGTCTGGGCTGCCACCGCCAATTAACAAACAACCAAAACCGTGACCGCTCTTCGGGCATAATCGCAACGCCCGGCTCCCCCTTAATTCCATGTAGTCGTGACCTCCAAAATCATACAATTCGTACATTCGAGCCGCTAAGGCCATATGTAATGCTACATGGCCAGCTCCGTGTCTCCGTCCATGTGCTTTGGCGTTTCTCTTTGCTGGCATTTGCGACGTGAAGCCACGTCAACTCGGCAACTCACCAAGTGGGGTGACTTTTTTTCTTCTTTTCCTTCTTTTCTTCTTGTTGTCCTTTTGGGCTTCCATTTTCTCACGGCATTTGTTGGTGTTGGCAGTTCATGATTGATGCTACTGCATGGCCTACTGTATGTGTGGCCTTTTGGGCGAATGCTTAACCCCTGAGAGCCAACAAGCACAAACACTACAAATGATTTTCTAATTTTTTTTATTATTAATTTATTTTTATTTTTCCATTGTGTTTATTTTGTCTAGCCTCTTCTCTCTTTTCCTGTTCAACCTCACCTCACACCATTTTTTTTTTTGTTTTTCTTCTGTCTTCTTCTCTCTCGTTCCTGATCGGTACCACCGAAACACAGAATCCTTCTCGCCCTTGCACCACCACCCCAAGGCATCTTTAGCTCCCCTATTACGCAAAAAAAGCCGTGCCTCTTACACAAGCCACAGCCAAAAAATACCATTCTGTGGCGCCGTGTGATTTTCGCGCTAAAAAACATACTACAGCAACAAAGTAGCCACTTCAAGGCAACTTACAAGCCTTCACAAGGCTGACTTGGGCCTCTAGTCCCATATGTAAGACGGAGCAGGAGCCCACAACAAACCAAGACTCCGTGAATCGATAAGCCCACACAAATCAAGGCCTGTGAATCGATTCCCGCCCCCAAAGAACTAAACTGCTTATTTCGGAGTGGGTTGAAGGAAAATCAGATAAACAAAACCTTGAACCATTCCGTTTTAGCAACGGTTGCCTCTTTGGAGTGAGATTCTGTGATTCTATTACCGCAACTCCGACTACCTAACCAAGGGTATTGCAATAACCACCGCCGCCCATCACTTACAATTTCATCGCGTAGACATGCATCGCATGCTAACGCGGCTACTATACTTGATTCATAACGTGTGTCAACACCGGTGGCGATACTTCACCTTGCTAGGTTTCTTGTGGTGACATCGTCTCTCAACAAGTAGACATTTTTAGACGTGGGATTTGGACATTTCAAATTCAATACTACACGTAGGCTTTTTTGCAAAAAATGTACTTCGCACATGCCATGTACAAACTGATCCGAAGCGAGCTCAAACTCATTGTAACACAAGCACTGGTAGCAGTAGGAAAAATGCCTAACCCCTCATAACATAGCAAACAATTGTGATATTTCCCGCGCTGGGCTCGCCAAATACTCCGTACTACTCTTATATATACATAAACTAAGGAAAATACTTTGACTAAAGAAAGGGCTCAAACATATGATATGTATGCCGTAATGTGCGCTGCGTCGGATGCGGTGCTGTGCCATATGTGTGTGTGACCTGAACAAAGATGGTGAAAACGAAAATAGGATGCATCCTTCTTCTTACAAAGGCGTGCAGTTGTTATAGCAGCTTGCCTCTCGCCATGACTTCTCTCAACACCTTGAGCTTCTCCTCCGTGACTCGAATCGCTTCCTGCACTTCCCGCTCGTCCATGCGCTCTTCTCTCAGCTTCTCTTCCAACGTTCGGGGGTCTGCCTCTCGCCTGCGAGCATTCGTCCGTTCTACGGAAAGCCGCTCCAGGCTCACCCGCTCTTCCAACCAGTCCCAAAGCTCGCTATCTTCCCGGCGCCACATCTCGTCGTATGCCGCAAGACGGTATGCGCTCTGCATGGCGGGTTCGTGCCCAAACGGTGCGGGGCTCTTATTGCTGCTGGGCGTGAGACCAAACCCAAACCAAGTCGCAACCAATAACCCCACAAGGAGCCCGTAAACGATATTGCCGGTGAGGATCGGTTTGAGGATATCGACAACAGGTTCCAGAATCGGGCGGACTGGTTCCAATAGGCCCCAGTTTGGCTCTTCCTTTTTGGCGCGTGCACTGGGGCTAATAGACTCAGTTGATGATTGCAGCGCCTTGCTCTTCTTGCCCTTCTTCTTGCCCTTGACAGCTCCGTTTCCGTTAGTAGCGGACCGCGGTCGGGTAGAGACAGCTGCCTTCAGGGCTGTAAACAAATCTTTGCAATACTGGGCTTGACCCTCGTTGACGTTCTTCTCAATGGTACCTATATAAGATTGGTGTATTAGTAAAGCTGTAATGGAAAGCAAGAAAATGATATAAAAAGAAGAGAAGATACATACCCTTGAGCCAACTCTTGCCACTCCATTCTGTAGTACAGTTGACTTGCACACGAGTGGCATTGTTCTCAGCCCATGAGAGACAGTACTTGGTCTTGACGCGGAAAATGTTTCCGCTGGGGACGTCGGGATTCTGCGTCGCCACGCTCACATTGACCGCCTTTTCATAATCGATATTGTCCACAGTTTCAGTGACGATACACTTTGTTTGCTTGGGGCCAATTGGGGCATTCAGCGGCTTGATATAAGTGAAGCCGCGAGTGCGACTGTCTGGACCCATGCCCTTCTTGTCCTCCATCTGCAAATCAAAGCACTTTTGGTTCTCCGTAATCCACTTGCCCATCCATTCAGCAGAGGATTCACCAAATAGCATGCTGAATACCTTGCCCAGCGGAGCTGGGATGATCTCGTCGGCCAGAAACTTGTCATAGTGCGTATCGGCGTCGCCACACTCGGTCGGAGCATGAGTGGCAGGGCCCGGGAACGATCCGGCGGCGGCTGCGGGGGCTTGCCCGTCGGCCGCCGCATCAACGACAGCTGCACTGAGAGCGACAGCGCCGGATGCTTTCCTATTCGGCTTGCCGGTGTCTGCGCCGTTGCTGCTGGCGTCTGCTACCTGAGGCTCGGGAGCTCTATCGCTGTCCTCCTCGTAGAAATCTTCATCGTCGTCATCATCGCTATCCCCTTCGGAGTCGGATCCGGCTGGCGTCTCTGGTTCCAGGCTTGCGGCCTCGACGTCAAGTTTTTCGGTCTTGTCACCACCGGTGCCCTCTACCCGAACTCCGTTGAGAGTGCTAGTCAAGGTGGGGTGGCCAAGCTTCCAGATGTTGACAATTAAATCATATGTAGCATCTCTGCTAGTGAAACTGGCGAATATGTGTTTGGCATGGAGAGTTGATATCATGAGTCCGTTTTTGAACACGAGGGCAGTGCTTCTCTTCTCGACGGATACAATCTCGTCAAAACTCATGACCAATGTCGTTGTCCACCCGAGAATGTTACTGCTAAAGCAAAGATGGCCTTCTGAGACGTATAACCGACCGTGCGCGAGAATCTCTCTCTGCAACGCACAGCTATAGTCCTCGATAAGGTAGTCATCATCCGGTACACTCTTGAAGAATGTGTGGAAATCACGGTTCCTCTTTTTACTAGCAATGGCGAATCCTGTGAGCTTTGGAGCTGGGCCAGCTGGCGCCGGCGGCGCGACCGTATTTGTGGTGGCTGTAGAGCTTCCTCGTTTCCTTTGCGAGTCGCTCTTCTCATCCTTACCGTCGGCTTGGTCAGACTGCGAACCTCCCTCCTCGCCATTGGCCGCTTCGAATAGCGACCTGGGTCTGCTGAGGGACTCGTCGAGGACGATATCGTCTGCGAGTCTGGGTTGGCTATCTGCTGCTGGAGCAGACTCAGACCGCGCCCGAGTGTCGTTGAGATCGGGAAATCGAGACGTTTCGAGGGCGGGCATGGCTGCTGAGGGTTCCATAATACCGAGCTGGCTCAAGCTGAGTTCTCCAGTACCAATCGTCTTAACTGCCAGCTCCTTTTTATCCATTCCGGTGCTTGACCGAGCCTCGGATGGTGGGGTTTCTGCACGGTCGCCTTCTGCTTGGCTTGCGGCAGGGGATGACTGTGGCTTAGACGCCTGATTCGTCCGACTCTTGTTTCCTCCAATCCCAATGCCACCACCCTGAATGTTGCTACTAATTGTGCTGGCAGCGTTCTGGGCAACCGAGAACATGGACGAGAAGAATCCTGCGGAGTTCGGGGGTTGGACTTCGCCGATCTCAGGGGTGGGTGAGAGCGGAGCAGTTGTGATGTTGGATAGTTTGCTGGGTCCGATGCTGGCAGATCCCGATTTGGTTCTTCGATGTGCGCTTATACCCTGGGAAGAAGAAGAAGAAAAGGACGTTGCATCCCCAGCTGATGCGGGCTCTGTAATGGCGGGCGGTAGTTTCTTGTCCAGGTGTAGAGCGAGTGGGTTTGTTCTCTCGACGGGTGTGGGCGGCGTATTCACAATGACGGGGCGGTAATTGTCGCTGCTCGTGGAAGGTCGAGCCGAAGTCGTGAGCCTCGAGGGCGAGAGTATCGTGTGCTTCTCAGGGGAGGAAGTTGTCTTGGCCGCCGCTGGTGGTTCGGGGAGCTGAGCTATCTCGCTTAGAGCCTCCTTGGACGCATTAGGAGACGTGCTCCTGGAGGATCCACGGCGGAGGCGCCGAGAGAGAAGAGATGGGCGCCGTTCTCGTTCGCCGCGTTGAGGGTCAGGGTCCAAGTCGGTGACCTGCACGATGGGAGATGCCAGAACTGATGTCGTGGTCGCACGAGCTAGCGGGGGGCGAGAGCTGCTTCTGATTCGGTGTTAGATCTGAGGTTGCAATGCAATGCACATGGCTGGATATGGAGGGGGTTGACGGCATACGTGGGCAGAGGCGAATGAGGACACGGGAAGTGCGAATACGAGCAAAGGGAGGGAGAGATGAAGCGTATGATTGGGCGAGAAGAAAAAAGTAGAAGAAGACGAAAAAGAACGTGGTTTAACGAGTGACGACGAATAAACAAACAAGATGCTTCAAATGGCGCAGATGAAGAAAAGAAGAAGAAAAAAGCTGGGCTGGTGTGGCGCTTTGAAGGACGTGCGTCCGAGTCTGGGCGCAAGGTGACGGGACGGGAGAAGGAGAGGGAGGTGAAATTAACTGCAGATTGGCCGTGGAGCTTCATGCAAGGCTGCAAGGCCTGTAACTTGCGCTACCTGTCATCTTGGGGCTTTTCTTGCCACTTGAGCAACGACAAGACGAAAGATGATGGCGATAATGCAAAGTGCCTGGTGAATTTCAAGAAAAAAAGGCGACAATAATACTCACCGGTCGGACTCTCCGTCCGCATCGGCGCCCCCCGACTCGTAGGACCCAAAACTGCGACTGTCCATCTCATCGTCATCGGCAACGTTGAGCGACGCCGCATCGTCACTATCTCGCGCAAAGTCGCGACCATCCTCACGGCCGGATGCATCCGATTCTAGCCCTCCCGTCTTGACCCTTCGCCTGCGCTTGGCTAGAAGCTTGCCCAGGCCACCTCCGGTGTTGCTGGTGCTGGTGCTGGCGTTGTCCATCCTCTCTTATCGCCTGGTCGCAACTACAGTATAGCTGGCCGAGTGAGACACGGACAAGGCGGATCAGAGCCGGCTGATCCAGATGCCGATGTGAATTGAAGTTTGTTGGAAATGGAGGAAGAAAAGAAAAGAACAAGTGCAAATATTTTGAGAGGTGTGAATAGCTGTTCTAGTAAGCGGTGCGCAAATCCCCGCTCCGTATCTTGTAGCGGGCTTCTTTTTAAACTATCACAGCTCCCGGAACGTCGTCGTCGTCGCGCGACCGTTTCCAGCATGATACGATGCCGCAGTCGACTGGAGATTATATAAATAGCATCGCCCGCCGTACCGACCGACTCCTGAAATCAGGATCAGGACTAACTTATTCACAGCCCCGTCTCCGGTTCTGCGCAATTTGCACGGGACGCTTGATCGGGGCCGAGGACACGGAGTCTCGTCCAGAAGATGCAAGAAATGGTCCGTCTGGGCTAATGACGAAACAGGACAGGGAAGCTTGTCGAGATTATGTGACGAGGCCCCCCTGGAGAGGAGAATTCGAGGTGGGGTTTTTGTGCCTCCTAGTGCCAACATGACGGAGTCGTTGAAGAACCGTGGAAGCCTTTTGCAACTAAAGAAGCCCGCTAGGCCACCGAGGGACCAATCTGTCGTGCGTCTGTACGAGTATGGACGGAGCAGTGCGAGTACTCGTACACGTATGTTTCAGCACCTTGTCGGAAGATGCAGAAACCCGAAACCCGTCAACGGTTAGCGATAGTATATCCTTGTCCGCAGCGTGCAATTGCTTCCTATTTGGATCTGTGCTTGATCCCTGTTATTAACCAATTGATGCTGTGGCACACGAGCAGAATAGAATGTCAACGTACGCTGCAGGTACGGTACCCCGAACTTACAGACACACGCCCGCTCATTGCAGATCAAGTCGCCGCTTTCGCCCACTTTGGGCTTGACAGTTGAAAGTCAAAAACTTTAGCTTCACAGCACCAATCACCTTCAAACAAGACATCTTTATGCATTCGATTCAAAGATTGTCATAAATATGGAGATGTTTTCACTTAAAAGCTTAAAGAGTGCTGTCGCTCTGGAGCGATGCTGAATCATCAACCAACAACTGCCTACCCACATACATACCCTGCATCTATTGAATCAGCTCTCACAGCTGGTATTACATTTTTCTGTATTGTTTCAAGTAAATAAACTCGTGTGTAAGAACGTTTATCTCTGGGTACGGAGTATATTCTCTGCAATGCAGCTGGAAAGTCACACGTTACTTGCTGTACGCAAGTTACGCCGCTGCACCCGACCCTGTCAGGATGACGACCATGTTCTCGGAAACGCTCAACAGTCCGCGATTCCAGTCCTTGTTGCCTCGGAGTCTCAGCCATTCAGCCCATGCCAGCCTTCATCGAATCGGCCGCGGTTTTCCAGAACGATCCAATTCATGGAGCGTAGACTTGTTATTTCTTCGTACAGACCCCCGTAGTGGCCGACCTCGGTGGAAGTAATTTTTAGGGTGCCCGAAGCTGAGTTCTTTCTTCGAGACTTGCGCGATGCCAGTATCACGATTCAGCCGAGGCGGCGAGATTGTAGGAACAATAACGTGTAATTGAGGTCTAGCTAAACTTCATGGATGAGGAACGAGTAAAGAACTAAACCACATACCTAGTTAGTAGCAATAGCAAATGTATTAAAAGAATGTAATGCCTACTAGGTAGTTCTATAATCTATCTCAAACGAATGTGCCCTCTATTTACATGGTCTAATTTAAACGAATGTGACGCCCATTCTAGTATCCCTTTATATTTTTTGTATTTTATGCGAAAAATGCTCAAACGCTCCGCCTGTAGCTTGGTACTGTTTATCCTTCTCTTTGAATGCGTTGATGATAAGTATGTATCTTATCATCTTTGTGCTGTTTCCCAACTGCTGGTCTTGTAAACATAAGGTAAGTATGTAAACCTTTTTTTTTTCCCTTTTTGTTTTTCTTCTCCCTTTCTTCCTTTTCAGTATCAGTGCTGTGTCTAACCGTGGCTATTTCTTCAATGAGAATTTTTTTTGAGATATATTTGAAGATTTTTCAATATGCTTGAAAACAGATTTTTTGTCATAGGTTTGAAAGTGTAGATCCGGTGGTAGATGATGAATTGCTGATGGAAATTTCATTGTCATTCCTAGTGGAGATAGTCAGTTCATAATAGCTACTAATGGTTACTGCTACTCACGCAAAGACTCTTCAACATCAACCCACTGTCGATGAGCTTTGGGATAGTCTCTTTGTGTTAGAGGAAGCTCGTTCTAGCCAATGAGTAAAAAGCTGTCTAAGTAGCACAGTATTACGCCTTTGGCGAATATATTCTTGAGCCTCTAACACGCTTTCATCAATGAAGACATCGTCGTCGAAAGATTCGACGGACATGCTCTTGATCGATTGTGTTTGTTGAGGCATAACTGTATGATGTAATGCTTAAACTATAAGAAGGTAAAGTATTATTTATATAGAATAGTCGGTCTGTGTTGTAGTTGTCTGTAGGCAATGGTAAAATTATGTGGCGATTGAGGTGGGAAATAGCTGTCTATTTATACCTGTTCATTCGACTCTGGATGAGAGTGTCTTCGAGCAACCACCGAGACAGTTTTATAAACAAAAAGGTATATATACTTACTTCATACACAGATTAATACTACTTATTAGGGGTAATTTGTTCAAGACGCCCGTACAGATACCTGCGACGGGCACTTCCAACTTGGAACTTCACCGCGTCCAATCCTCCCCCTCTTTGCTCAGCTTCTGACCACTGCCCCTCCATTTCCCCCCTCCAACCAGCCCCATTACTCCCCAAATTGGCAACACTGCAGAACCAACAGCCGCCAGAAAGGCACCTGTCATGCATGAGACTCGACGAATCAAATCACATCTATGTACATGTACCTCTCCTTTGTATGCTGATGACCTATTTCGCAAAGTATATCTACGACTTCTGACGTGCGAATGGTGAGGCTACCGCAGCTTCGGGGGTTGCATTTTGTCATATCTTGGGTTAGACTGAATGCATTTACTGTCATCCAACTCCGAACCTCCCCACATTCTGTCGAATTTTTCACTGATTTTTTCTTTTTTCTTCCTTTTTTTCTTCTCTTTGATAGCGACGCGTCCGCGTTGGTAAGACGTGACAACTGAAGGGCTTGTTTATACGTAGAGGGCTTCTACGCGGCGTGGAGAGAACGCGAAGGAAACGCGCTGACTTTTCCCCAGAGTGATATGGACCATGGAGAGTTGGTGTTATACGGCTAACCGAGTTTCCTTCATGTTCAGTCCACGAAGACGCGCCGAAGAGTGATCCTGTAAATTGGCATCACAGTGATGTTAACGTATATGATCATAGGCATGGTTACATTTATATAACTTCTTCATCGAACTATAAATGTATATCTATTTAAAAGAACAGTATGAGAAGAGTTTGAAGAATAAAGCAACACATGACTATCTAAGATACTTGATACAGGAAGCATTGAATCAACTTCGGGAAGGCCCAAAGAATACTTTATACCATAACCGGCAATATGCCCCGAAAGACCTTACGTCATGAAGATGATTTTGAAAGATGCACACTGCTCAGTCATTGATTTGAAATGACCAATCTATCTTGCTGAATCAGAGCTATATTATTGCCACAGAGATGCCGCCATTATAACATAAAGATTAGTATGCCTTTGAACTTCTTATTTCCTTATCTTGCGACACAACCCCCCGTATTGAAGGCACATGATATTCCAAACTGCATGAGTAACAATTGCCCTTCATAATTTCTTTTGTATTTCTATAGCTGAAATTTCCAAAAGTCGTTGTCCGTTTGTGTTGCAATCCAAAGATATGCTATGTAGAGGTAGATGATGTAAGCTTGTATCAACACTCTTATACAAGCTTACATCATCTATCTAATAGAGCTCAAGCTACCGTCAGATGCTAGTCTACCTAGTGGCCGCTTTGGCCCGTTTTGGTTCAGCCTTGAGATGTCACATCGCAACACAGTAACATGGAACAGCCGTGGATAAAGTACCCATAGATCTGATCAAGAACAAAAGAGAAGAAAAAGAAAAAGAGAAAAAAATATAATTGAATTCATCTATAAGAATCTGTGTTTGCTTTGTAGAACTAGTGGTCGTGTAAATGCTGAAATATATTGAAGCAGAGCGACTTCCTAGGAAGTCGGAAATTGGCAGTCGACCAGACTGCGCTGGTATTTAGAAACAAAATGGCTGCACAGTCAGCCATACTCACTGTTAATGCATCGATTATCATGTCTCTACATATAGTAACTACCTAGTATTAAGTGTTTCTATATTAAAGTAAATAAAAAGTTTTAGCCCTCCTGCTAAGTGTTGTGTAGTACCTCTAGATACTTCCTCCACCGCGGGTCGCTTGCGGCCATCGACTGTCTTTCCCGCGTATCTCCCGTCCATCGGCATGCCGTCATAAGTGGGACGCCGAAAGTGCCCGCACAAATCATGCGCACTTATGCGCACACAGTCCTACCACCAAGTTAAAGTGGTATGCACATGCACTATCTTGCAACTGCAACCTCAACCCGCAAGCCGAAGCTGAAGCTTGCTCAGCTCAACCACGACGCCTCTCCCGCAAGGGGGCAAATTCTTACAACCTGAATAGACGTGCCAGCGCGTCTGCAACAACTTTTTTCGATATGGAATCTTCGCCGCTCACCAAAGCGCACGACCACGCGCGAGCCGCTGCCGTGGCCACTCGCCAATCCTCCGATACCACCGTGGCCATCAGCGAACACACTCTGGCCGCGGGCGAGTTTGCCAATGCCGCCAACCTGACGTCGAGCGTCGAGGCGCTCCGAACCCTCAAGCTGCTGGAGGAGCATCACAGGAAGCTGGCCGAGATCCTCAAGCTGCCCCCGGAGCAAGTGCCGCATGCGCGCGACGACGGCGAGAAGACGGCGTCGGAGAAGGATGGCGATGGCCTCGGCACCGACGCAAGCGACGCTCTCCAGGCTGCAGTCACCAAGGCCCAGCCGCCCGGCCTGTCCCAGCGCCGCTACATGCCTCGCGAAATGTCGTCGTCCATTGCCAGCAACCTTGCGTCGGCGAGGGGCATCCGCTCCAAGGATCGCAGCCAGCCGCTCAGCCCCAGCGTGTCCAACGATCAAGCCCCCGGCAATGTCGATCCCCAGGCCAAACGCGATGCCTCCAAGGCCAAGATGCAGAACATTATGGAACGCCAGACTGGTCGCCCGACTTGGGTCCCGCCCATCACTCCCGTGTCTAAGCAGCAAGAGGGAGCGGCAAACGGCGGCGCGTCCCCCAAGGTCGAGCAAGGTCCTCCAAGAGACGATGGCGGCTACACCCGTTTCTACAACACCTTTGGAAGCCTGATCAACAAGATTTCTGCCCCTCTTGCTTTCGCCGGTCTGCCGCTCATCCAGGAAGAGCCCGCCACCCCTACTGAATCTTCTGTCATGCCCTCGTCTAGTGTCAACCTGTCTCCCTCCAAGCAGCCCCGTGCTCGTGCCTCCCCGTCCCCCAGCGCCGAACCTGACCTGTCCAAGATTTACTCAAAGGCCACCATGCGCGCCCTCATCCGAGATGGCCACACTGCTGCTGACTCCTTCTACGTTGTTCCCTCTACCGGTCACACCATGTCTTATGCCAACATCCTCAGCTACGCTGAAAAGGAAAAGCGCCGGCTGGAAGCCTCGACCCATGGCGACTTCTTGCCTCAGGATGAAGACGACGATGACTTTGTTGATGCCCGTGAAGCCCCTGGTTCTTCTGTAAGCGCTCGACGACGGATTACGCGTACTCACTCGGAAAAAGAACTGTATAATACCATCGAGGAACTTAGTCTGGAAAACAAGTCGCTAAAGGATATGCTTGATAAACTATCGAAACGCCTCCATACTTTTGAAGCTAGCGCTCAGAGTTCTGCTCTCGCTCTCGCGGAAAGTTATCGTATCATGCCTGGCGGGTCGCCGCTCCCTGGGGGAAGCGGGAGAGCGAATGACGATGAACTGATACGCAAGAATAACGAACTGGAAGAACAACTTGCAGAGATGACGAAGCACATGGAACGACTGGAGAAGGACAACCGTAAGATGCAAAAGACGCTTGAAAAGTACCGTGAGAAGTGGGAGACTTTGAAGGCTGGTGCCAAGGCGAGGAGGGAGGCGCAAGTGACGGCTGAGAGCATTGAAGACGCACGCTCGTCTCAGGTGTGATTTTACGTGCTGCTGATGCGTTCCTTTCGAAGGGGTTTATCCCCAATTTTAAGCCATTTGGCTGCTTAAGTCTGTCTCTACTTGTGTTTTGATGTTGTGGTTGCTGTAGGGCGAAGCGTTTTTGCCAGCGTAGATTTGCTCTAAAATATACAAAGGTGTCATCCCCCGAATGTTCTTACGATGGTGATTTGATTTGAATGCTTGATTTAATTCCACCAAAAACTGACGCTGAAGCTGATGCTCAAACTCCGGACGTAATGCCACCACCCGATGGGAATCACCAGCGTATCTCCTGGGTTAAGTATAGTCTCCCAATACGGAACGTCCTTCAACTCATTCCGAATACTCTCCCAGTCATCCCCACCGTCCTCATCCCAGCCCTCCATGACACCAACGTCTAATTCACTAGTATTGCTCATATCAACACCATGTTCCATCCCTCTAGGCCGCAACCTTCCCGTCTCTTCAGGCGAATACAGCCTCACGTATTTCGTCCCAACGACCTGACACAATAAATTATGATATCCATCCGTATGAAGCGGCGTAATCGTCTTTGCAGGGCCAAACCACGCGTTTAATTGAGGGACATGTACTGGTGTCTGGTTTTTGGTAGAGTCTGTAAGATGGGGCGGGACGTCGGCCCAACAGAAATCGGGGACTTGGATGTCGTTTCGTAGGGAGGGGATTTGTTGGAAGAGGTTGTGCTGGGCGAGGTAGCCGACTTTTTCGGGCTGAAGCATCTCATCTGATGTTGGTGTTGAGGTGGTGATGCTCGGGTCGATGTATTTTGCGAGAAAGTGTTTGAATTGAATGAGTTCCTGACTCCAGCCTTCATCAACATAACTTCGTCCGATTTCAACAGGGACGAGCCTCCTCCCGCCAAACGTCCTCGAGAGGAGATACTCGGGACTATTCCACGGCATATCCGAAAAAGCAGGCCATTCTTTCGTCAAGTCTGTAAAAACAATCGGCAGCGGCTTTCCCTGACTCTCTTCATTCATGTACTTCTCAAATTTCTCCAGCGTCCAGTTTTCATATCGCGGACATGTCCTTTCAGCGGAGAGATTCGGCCTACCGAATGGTTCGTGAGTAGAGAATGTCGTGTCCCTTTTGATGCGCTTCTGCGGCCGTTGAGTTTCTTCTTCTTCAGATGTTTCTGTTTCTTCCCAGAAACGGCTGAGTAGTTCCAATGTCTTTTCGATCCATTGTTTGCCTAGAAGTTTTCCCGCGCCGCCGGCTACGATAAGTGCCCTGTCTAAACTTTCCACCACGCGATCCATGAGATTCTCATCAAATGAATTCTCTCGCGCCGCCTTTAAGATGGCGTAATATGACATGAGGATCAATGTGTCTGTGTATATCCACCGCCAGTAATACGGCAGCAAATCAAACCGATACGCATAAAACGCCGTCATGCAAACCGATGCGAGGTCATCCAGCCTTGTCTGCAGCAAATCTTCATCTACGCTGGTGTCTGTATTCTGGGGCAGGGATTCATGTAGTTTGATGAGTAGCCGGGCTTGGCGCTGTAGTAATTGCTGCATCGCAAGTGCTTTTAGATCCGTGGCTGTTGGTTGTGATGGCTCAGGAGGCGTATTGTTTGTGGTGGTTTGAGAATCGGATGATGCGTGTTGTGATGTAGCGATTGTGGCTGCAGCTTCACGGTATTGCGATAGAACTTGGTCGCGTAGGGAAGACATGATGCGACGACGATGGATTTATGAGAAGAGAAAGAAAAAGAAAGATTAATTTGACATCTTAATGGGTGGATTACAGTTGGTAAGTGAGGCGCCTTGATAGTATTGAGAGAGGAGAAAAAAGTTCAAGGTGTGAGATTCTTAGACTGGCCATATTCCGACCTCACTAATAAATGGTACCCTACAAAGCATCAACCCATTATCACCACGCTCGCTAACTCACCCATTAACTGAACAACATGTCAATATTTTGTAAGAAATCAAATAAACAGCGATTTAAACACTGCCATCGCCTGAGTGTCTTCAATTCAAGACCTTTATTTTAATCGTTGCCTCACGTTGCCTCACATTCACTCTCAACTCATCTCTCACTTCAAAACTTTAGATTCATCAGAAAAATATTTTCATCCCACACAAAAGACCTCCCCAACAACCCAAACCAAATTTCTCCCTAACGTACAAGACAATCGAATTTTTCGTTTCGTTTACATCGCTTGAGCTGGCGCCGACATTTAACACTAGTATTCTAACAAGTCCATACTCCCACAATGCCGTCCCGCCTACCCTCTACCAGGTAGCCGTCTCTAACACGTACACGTTCGACGACGGCGGCATTCTTGGCGCCCTCGGACGCGGCAATGCCCGCTCCGCAGTCCCATTGCCGTCCCTCGACCTTATCGTACACCTTGACCACGTCCTCGCTGGCCGCGCTGACAATCCGTCGCGCATCAAACATCATGCTGGTGACGGGGTTGTCGTAGGCGTAGGCGTCGTAGATGGACCCTGTTCGGAGATCCCATATCTGTAAAAGGCGAGCTTGTTAGTCGACGCTATACATATGAAATTGGAATGGCATAAGCTTACTCTGATGCTTCGGTCTAAGCTGCCCGTCACTAGATGTACATCGTCAAACTGCAGACATGTCACAGCGCCGGTGTGGCCCACCAAGCTACGGTGAACCTGGCCGCTTCGCAGATCCCATAAGCGGACCATACCGTCGGCAGTACCGCATGCCAGCGCGGACTCAAACACTTGCAAGGCACCAACAAAGTCAGCCGTGGTTCCCTGGGCTCGGCCAGTCGGCCTCCAGGTATCGTCAGCCGTTGCAATGGCCGATGCCTGAGCGGCCGCCCACATGACGTCGAGCGTCTGAACGCAGCGACCCTTTTCCAAGTCCCAATGCCGGATCGTCTTATCTGCTGAGCCAGAGACCATAACATCTCCCCTGAAGTGAAGTGCGGTGATTTCGTCGACGTGAGATGATAGCGTAAAGAGGGCGCAGTCGTCCATGCTGCCCTCCGGAGGCTCGATGGGCTGCGCATCGGGGTGTTCAAAAGCAATGGCGTCCTCGTCGTCATCGCCGGTGTCCTTGCCGCCTTGAGGGTTGTAGTGCGTTTTGCTCAAATCCCACAATCTGATGGTGGCGTCCATAGAACCGGTGGCTAGAATGTTATCCTCGACCTGCAATGCTCGCACCGAGGCCGTGTGGCCCTCCAGGTAGCCCATGCATCGACCGGCATTCAGATCCCAAACCCGGACAGTATCGTCCAGTGCGGCAGTGACCAGAGTTCCGAATGGCGCATCAAAATCCATGGCCGTAATCGTATCGCGGTGGGCCCGGATTTCGCGGATGTTGGATCCCGGGGCAAAGTGCTCGTGCAGAATGGGCATGGATTTCCGGCGATGGACCTTTTTCGGCTTGCGCTGCTTGGTGTCGGCGGCGGGCAGCTTCTCGTAGACAGACTTGGACATGAATTCGGGGTCGTGGTCGTCGGCATCTCCAACTAGATCTCGCTCGTCCTTGGTGGCGGTGTTGCGCGCAATCTCCTCGGCTTCGTCGACAATGGCTTGGACTTCGTCGATTTTCAATTCGAGGTCCATGACTACACGGGGAGGCAACCAAAGAGAAGCATTAATTAGACATGGAACTTGAAAGGAGAGAATGGCAAAGGGAAAATGAAAGCAATCTACTGGGGTGTGGGTTCAAACACCTACCATCGTGCTCGAGTGTCGCCTCGTCTTGTTCAAAGCCCGCCAACCTCTCTAGCACAATCCTACGCATGCCGTAGAGATTGGCAATCTTGTTGTCTATTTCGCGGATCTCACAGCTGACCATGCTCTTGCGCACCCCCAGCAATTCCAGCTCGTGCACCATGGTCGTCTTTTCCTTCTTGAGCTGGGCTAACTTGGTCGGCGTTGCGGGTGTGTTCTCCCCCTCCTCCAACAGTTTCCTGCCCCTCGACGGCTGTCGGCGGTGCTTCTTCCTGTCGTCGGCCAGCTCCGGGAAGCTGGCCTGGAAACCCTGGAACAGCGAATAGGCATTCTGGTGCTCGGGGATGTTGGACAGCAGCTCGTCGGGCAGGTGGGTGAGGGCGCGGTGCTGGATCTCGGTCGTTGACAGCTTGGACCGCACAATCTCGGTCGGGCTGGACCGGGCCATGGAGAACATGCCGCGCTGGACGCTGGGGCGCTTCATCTGCTTGTGAACTTCTGCCAGGGCGGCGCGATAATGGGCTCCCGAGGCCTCTGCGGCTGGGCCCATGAGCTGGCTCGCCGTGACAGTGACCTTGCGGCTAAAGGCTTCGAGTCCTCGAGTCTGCGGGCAGAGAAGAGATACGACATGGTTAGCAGGCTGCGCTCCATGGGCAAATCGCAAAAAAGGGACGGCTCAATGCATTGGCATGGGATCTTGCGGCAGGCAGAGTTTTTGAGAGTTTTTGCCGGTTTGCGACATACAGATATGATGGACTGCTCGTCATCGGGGCCATCGTCGAAGGCATAATGGCTCTCCGAGTCGGCCATTACTCAACGGCTGGCCCGCTGCAGGCTCAGGATTCGGGGCTCGAGGCAGCGCAAGGCAAAGGGCGAAGTTGCGTTGCGTTGGTCAAGGGAACAAGAGCAAGAGTTGGAGGGTTTGCATCGCAAAACCGGGCATGGCATGCGGGTGTGAAATTTGGATGACGCGCGCAAAAATGCAAAGTCCAGTGCAGAAGCGGCACCAACCGGTCCCCCGGCTATTGAGTACAGGTACATGCTGGGGCCTGCTAACCCGCTGCTAAACCGCTGCTAAACTGCTGTTACTGGCTCGGCTGGTTCAATGGATCAATTTGTACTCTGTACCGCCCACCCCTCTAGCTGTTCCAGCTGCCCTTTGCGTGTATACCATTGATCCGATGGAATTGGCACCGCTGTGCCGATGCATCGATGCAAGTGATTTGTGCGGGTGTCTATTTTGTATTTTCTACCTTGAACTATAACCCGCACCAGCAGCTATTCCCAAGTACTGCTAATACATGGCCAAGGTAGCATCGAAATTGATTAGCTGAGCTGTGAACCGACGCATAAACAATCAAACGAGAGAACCCGGCTAGTTCGAGCTGCTGTTTACAGGCGTTTCGGCTTGTCTCTGCTAGTTCGCTTCTGCACTTAAGAATCTTTTGCCTGTGCGGTTCGCTCGATGCCCCACTGGGGGCTTTCCGGGGTTCAAGGGCAGACCCCAGCAGTTCAACCGTGAAGGATTGACTTTTACTCGATCGCCAGGGGACCCTAGAAGTATGTCTGATGGATGCTTTGATATGGAGGATTTGGCAGCTTGGATGATTGTGTACTACTACTAACAGAACCAGCATCTAAGTGTACTGTAGTCTGTCACATGTTTAGGTGAGGTAGTGATGGCATCAGGTTTAAACCCGTCTACATGTATTCTCAATTCCGTCCGCTACTACTGGCACCAACACAAACAAGTCTAAATAGCAATCCCGATGCCGTGCGACATACCAAAGCAACCAGCATCTGCTGCTTTTGCTGCAAGATTCCCAATGGCAGCAGCGCCTCATTTCTTACTCGGCACGTGAAAAGGCTTCAGTCGCGCATCTCGCAAGGATCCATTGAGATCTGAGCCGCCCTTGTATAATGTATAGAGCCTTTGGTAAGCTGAACCGGCCGCTAAAGATGGGGCTTCGCTGAGTCCAGTCTTCTAGACGGCCGGTCTCGGGGAGCGGATCAATTCCGTTCCCAGCTTGACTTGATTTCATCAATCATCGGCACGCTGCTGAAAGTTTGATTTGCCCGTCAGCTTATTTTCGATTCAATCTTGCGCTGACATTTGCACTATTCTTGCTGTTTCTCCAACATATTTAAATTCAGCGATATTCCCCCTTTGATTGCTTCTCTTCAAGATGGATTCCGCCGTGGACATGGCCGACAGCTCTCGAGCGCTGGATCTGGCGCGCATCCGCTTCCAGCTCATGTCAGTTGGCCCGAGCTATGCAAAGCTCAGCTCTCAATCCCAAATTCGTCATTTTGCATGCGCTCTGACATGTTTCATATAGCCGACTCGAAGACACAATTTCCTTTTCCCTCATTGAGAGAGTGCAGTTTCCTCTGAACAAGGTGAGTCATAGATGCCGAAGCCCAAATATTGTTCTGTTACTGACTCGAGCTTCCTTTATCTAGACCATCTACACGCCTGGCGCTCTCCCCATCCCCGACAGCCGCCTGAGCTTCTTCGACTGGTACTTTTCCGAGCAGGAGAAACTGCAGTCCCTGATTCGCCGTTTCGAATCCCCCGACGAATACCCTTTCTTCCCAGAGTCTGTCCAGAAACCCATGCTGAAGCCCCTCAACTACCCCAAGATCCTGCACAAAAACGACGTCTGCGTCAACGACAAGATCAAAAAGTTCTACATTGAAACGTTCCTACCAGAAGTGTGCCCCAACTTTGGCCGTGAGGACCGAGGAGAGTCGCAGGAAAACTACGGCTCGACATCTACGTGCGACATTGCCTGCCTGCAGGCCCTGTCTAGGAGAATTCACTTTGGTAAATTCGTTGCAGAGTCCAAGTTCCAGTCAGATCCTGAGCTCTACACGCAGCTCATCAAGAACGAGGACCGGGAGGCCATTGGCGAGTCCATCACCAACAGAGCCGTCGAGGAGCAGGTCCTCGCCCGTCTTCGTCTCAAGGCCGAGACCTACGGCAAGGACCCGTCGATGCTGGGCGGCGTGGAGCAGCCGGTCAAGATCAACGTGGACGCGGTGGTGTCCATGTACAAAGACTTTGTCATTCCCTTGACCAAGGAGGTTGAGGTTGAGTACTTGATGCAGAGACTCCTGCCAGAAGAGTAGAGGCAATACATATCATCATCTATTGCGGCGCAGCTATATAGTCACTCACGGCCTTGACGGCCTCCTTGAATTTACTCGCCTCAATGAGGATCATGTGTCCAAATGTCTTGATGCCCAGCTCTTGAAACGCCCGCTTGCTGTCTGCCACCGCATCGTCCTCTTTTGTGTACCGGAAGCTGCCGTGTGCTACGGCGAATTTTTGTAGAATCTCATCCTCGGGGTGGAAGTGATAGGTTGAAGCCTCTTCCTTGGCCTTTTTGCGTTTTCGGTCCTCCACGTCCAGCGTTGATTCTACCTCCTGATACGTCCTTGAGAAGATGAGATAGTAAGAAAACTCGTACGGCTCCTTGTCTTCGATCGCGTCCTCCACCTCTTCAACGAGCATTGTATACAGCGGTGGCGCAATTTCAGACGGCATGTTGATGAGTCGCTCCGAAAAGACGAGTCCGACGGGCTTTTGTGCGGTGATGAGCTCGGCAACGGCTGATATTGAGGGGTTGGTCTGGGCCTTGTCCACGATGTACTTGAGAATATCCTTCATGGGCTCCTTTTCGCGGTGCTCGTATGTGTTGAGAACCGTGAGCATGGCATAGGCGTCGTTGGCTTTGCCGTCAACCTTGACTGTTGAGCCAATCGTCGGTTGCGACAGGATCAGATCCGACAGCGCAGACATGTTGAAGAGGTTGGCGTCGACATCGAAGAGCTGTCGAAGCAATGACTTTGTGCCGTGGAAATCAATCTCGGGATCAAAGTTGAACCATTCAAAGTCCACATTGACCATATCAAAGTCCTAACAACGTCAGCGCATCTTCCACTGAGTAGAGCAGAACGGCTTCTCTCATCTCACCTCATCATCGCTGCTGTCCTCTTCCATTCGGTCGGCACCTGCATCTGCGGGCGGCACATCTTTGGCCTCCTCCCGTGACCTCTTTTTACCCATTTTTGTCTGTGATTATCTGAATTGCTTTTGCGATTGATGGATTGAATGCGCTCCGCAATGACGAAGCAAGTCTTTTGGTTTCATCTCAACTGAGCTTCGATAACGAATTTTTGCTCTCCATACCCCGCGCTATACCGCATCTAGCCACGATAAGAGCTCTATGGCGTCTAATTAGACGCGATATCGTGCGCTTAACCAGCCAACCAGCGGCCACTCCCCAGACTCTGCCTCTGTTCCCACTTGGATGTCGTCGCAACTTACGTAGCCGAACTGGATCAGCAGCTTCACTGGCGGAATCTCAACTTCGCGCATCCACCCTCTGCCGAGCTTCCAATCGGGCGTTGCGGCATGAGCGACACTCAATTCTGAGACAATCTCCATATCTAATCGCCGTATCTTATCCTCTGCTCGCAAAGGGTCATCGTGATCTTGCCTTACCTCGCCGTTAACCCATATATTGCCGCTATACCGAGCCTTTGTTGAATCCGACCGTCACCATGGACTACAGCGCCTCTATACACGAGACCGAGGACCCCGCGGCGTCTCCCTGGGGCAACACTCCGGGCTCGTCTCCCCAGCATGACCGCACCACGTTTGCGAGCCTCACGGGAGATGCTCCTGTTCCCGCTTTCCCGTACACCCCGCAGTCGTCCAACGGCCTGGGACCAAGTGGTGACGATGTCTTTCCGCAGTCTGGCTCAATAACTCCAGCGGCCGGTGGAGGGAGTGAGCACGAAGATGCGGGATTGACTGCGTCTTCAGAGTCTGGCACCGTGCCTCCATCTGAGGCCCCCCAGTCAGCAGCTTCAACAGAGGTGCCACCAGAGGATGCGCAACAGCCTCGGAAGCCTCCGCAGCCCCAATTCCGGCTGCAGGCAAAGATTACAGGCCTGGAACGAACGGGAAAGAAGGATCCGATACTGCGATTCGACGTTCACGTGAGTTGTCCTCTCTGCTGTGTTGATAGAGAGCGCCATTGATCTAACAAGCCGCTCCTCAGACCAACCTGCCTCGATTTCGCACCACCCAGTACCGAGATGTCCGACGTTTGCATTCCGAGTTTGTCAAGCTTGGAGAGCACTTGATATCTGCAAACCCCGAAGCTCTGGTACCCGCTGTCCCTCCTCCTATCACATCGGCTGGCGCTGGTACAGAGGAAGATGAAAACCGCGTCAAGGCCCTGATGCAGCGATGGTTCAACTATGTGTGTGGGAATGAGGTATTGATGAGAGACGACGAGATGGTTCTTTTTGTTGAAAGCGACTTTGGCTACAGCCCGCTGGTGAAGAGAAAGCAGCCCGCAACTGGTGTTCGCAGGAAGATTTTGAAGCAGTTTGCTCCGCCTCCCGATGATACCCCTGAGCTCGCAGAGGCTCGTCCTGTTGTTAAGCTGTTCTATCTTGGTACCATGGATGCTGGCCACAAGGTCGACAAGCTCGTCAAGGCTAGGAGAGGTAAGATAAGAGTGCTGGCTAATTTGGTTTATGCTACCTTGCTAATGAATATAAATTGCAGGTCTTGGACTTGTCGAGTCTGATTACGGTGTGAAGCTTGGCGCCATGCATGTCCAGGAGCCGCACCCCGGATTGGCAAACGCTTACAAGAAGCTTGGTCGGGTGATTCAGACTGTCGGAGACTATCACGCCGCTCAAGCCACGGCTGAGGCTGCCACCATCGGTGACCCATTCCAGTATCACTCGCAGGATGCCTTTATCGTCAAGGAGTCTCTCACCAACCGTCAAATCCTCATCCGCGAGTTCTTGCAAGCTCAAGAGGTAACACGAAGCAAGCTAAACGCCGCCGATCGTCTCAAGGCCAGCTCCAGCGTTCGGCGAGAAAAAGTTGACGAGGCCATCGCAGCCCTTGACGAAGCCCGAACAAACGAAACCCAGCTCTTCAACAAGACAAGTAGAGTTACCCAGAGCCTCGTTCAAGAACGCCGCAGGTGGTTCGACAGAACGGCCAGTGACCTGCGTCTGGAAATCAGGGAACTTGTCCTCCGTGAGATTGAGGCCGAGCGTCGGTCGCTAGCCCTCCTGGAGAGCGTGAGAGCGGATATCCGGTCCATCGATGCCTCCGGTGGTCTGAGCCGTCTGGGCCGTGAATCTCATCCCACCGTGCGACGAACGAGCCTCGCTGCCAGCCAGGGACCTAAGGGAGATGCTTGGAGCGGCGTTCCTCGTCGGTCCGACGCCACTAGCCGCAGCACCTCGGGCGTCGGTAAGGTGGAGGAAGCTGAAGGTGAGGACGGCCAGGAGTCTGGTTCTGGTAAGCATGGAAGTGGGCTCGGCAACTTGGTCGGTCTGGAGGAGGATGATGAGGACCGAATTGATGCGAGAAATGCGGCGAGCCGGTTAGCTACGAGCACCTTTTAAGAGACGCTGGTGATTTTATAAGGGGGGATGGCTCTTGTTTTCTACTCAGTGCCAAAGTGCGGCCGTTGTCGTTAAAATATAGTTCCAGACGAGCACATGTTTATATTCAATTTTAAGAAACGAACCAAGTTGACGAATAATAAGGAGTGTAGAAATCGAATAGAGTTGTTTTTACGAAGAATTCGAATGATTGTGTTCCAAGCATTTTTCAGTTGCCTCGCGAATTTACTCATGGCTGATAGTTACGCCAGCCCTCGTTATGTCATTCATTACCCATCTATGAATCGTTCCCTTGCGTTGAACGTGTTTAAAAAAAAGGAAGAGAGAAAACAAACGCCCCATGGTAATGCCTCAAGCAAACAAAAAAATCACCCAAAGTTCTAGCCTTATAAGCAAAACCTAATATCATCCTCAAACGTGCAGATCGCCCGTGCCCGGAATGTTAAACGGGACACCACTCATATTATAATTCAGATTCCCACGTCTCGCTGCACCCTTGCTTGATTCAATAGCATGAAATTTCCTGCCCACATCCTTTGCCTGGTTGACGCCCTGCATGATGGAGTTCAAAAGGCCGAGGAGGTGGACATTGTTAGACTCGCTCTCTACTTCCTTCTCAAAAGCCTCCCTGTCTGACGGAATGACGAGGTCAAGACGGCTGACCAGGGCCTGGATCTGTCGAAGAATGTTGTGAGATGGCGTAGTATTGTTCGTGTCCGTATCCATGCTCTCTCCCTGGTCATCTCCATTGATGTACGAGGGCGGTAAACGTTCCAGGTAAGTAGTGATGAGCTGGATTCTGGAGTGGAGCATCTTGATGGCGTTGGCCTTTGCCGTCAGCGAAGCAATCATCTCGTCCTCCTCCCGCGTCAGAGCGCTCGCCTCATCCACCACCGCGTCTTTCTTCTCCTCAACCTCGCTCTCCACCAGCCTCCGCTTCCCCTTTCCGTTTGACTCTATCGAACGAGCTGGCCGTTCTTCCTTGACGGCCGGAGCTGGGGCGCTGGCTGCTGCGTTTCCACCACCGCTAGCCACGTAATTCATGCTAATCATTTCCGTCTCATCCGTCTCGACAGAATATGGCACCTCTCGGAATTTCAGCTTAAGTGAGGAGTCACCGTCGTCCATCTTCTTGTCCTCTCCGTCATTTTCCGCCCTGGCGTCGTCGACCTCAAAGTTGCTCTCGTATATTGTCAACGGCAATTTACCGCCGACTGAATGCTGCGCAACCTCTTGTGGGTGGAAACCTAGCAAAACGGCCGACTCGTTCCAGTTTTCGAGGATCTGGCTGTGGACGGGCAGGATGGTGGGCGAGGGACCTGATGACGACAGCAGCGTGTACCAGCCGACAAAGTCCAGTTTTCGGTCTTTATGCACAAGGCACACTGTTAAAAAGCGAGTTAGCAAAGCATGCGACGGGATGTCGAGGGCGGATGTGGCGCACTCTGTTCTAATCTTCTGCCAAACTTGTCTACGTCCACCAGGTAGCCTCCATCGACCTCGGGTGCTTCCTTGACGTGGCATTCAAAAGCGTGTTCAATGGTGATTTCCCGGCCATTCTGCTGGCCTAACAGAGCTCCGATTATGGGCCCCTTTTGCTCTCGCAGAGTGTGTCGTGTGATGTAGTCGGAGATTGTGAGAAGCACTAGCGGGTGCAGGACGGCCTGGAGCTGGGAGCTCTTCTGGGTCGATAGAAGAGGGTTGGAGCTGGGAGCATCCATGTTGGTGGGAGAGATATTGCTGTATTATCGGCGGGAAGTGATTCGTCGTATGTGATGGTTATTTTTGAGGCTGCAATCTGGGTCGTAGGGGGGATGATGTAATAGAGAAGAAGCGTGATGAGAGCTGAGATGTGAAGTTGGTTGTATGTTGGAGGTTGAGCAACTGCCCCGCGTGCCGTGGGGTTGAGAGGCAGCAGAGCGATGACTAAGCCGGTCTGGTTGATCATCGTCTACCTATGTCTTGAAGCACAACCAGGAGCTCAATTACAGAAGCCCTCATTATATTTGTATCTTTATACATATTATTCTTCATATTTTTAATCTAAATTTTAATTGAAGCTCAAATTAGTGGCAGACGTTGATCTGATCTGAACCACTCTGAATTCAACTCTTCTGGTAATTGCACCTTCTATTCCAACCAGGCCGGCTCCTCAAGGTTGACATCCACAAGAGAGGACGAGCCGACATACCAAGAAGATTTGTTGTTGCAATACCCGTTCCACAAGTGATCTGAAAACAATTGTGATATCCACTGAGCAGAGTCATTTGAGCTGCAAAGCTTGACCTCAATGGATAACCTTTGGTATTAGCTTACATGCTTGTTCATCGGTTCCGCGCCCCTGGTACTAACCCCAGCGAACAATTGAAACCACAACAGGCAACATCCGCACCATATTCATACAAATCATAATCGTTTAAGTCAATGCTAATTTTGGAACCTTATTGTTAACTCTGTATGAGCGGCCCTCAAGTCCGGCCAGCCGTTTATGTTTCTGCGTGGTTTATAAACCTCGGAACGCAACATGAGAAACACTCCGAAACTTTCAAACATCATGACGCATTGGCGAGACTCAAGCCAGACGGCACTTTCAACAGAGACTCTCTTCCTTTGCCTCCGTTGCCGCCGTCTAGACCGTTTGGGGTTCTGCGGCTTTGTTTGTTGCCGGTCGATCTGGCGTCTGAGAATCGCCAGGGGGGTGAAACTTGCCCCGCGGTCTCAAACGTGGGATCAAGACCAAGCTTTTCTTTACCCCAAACAATGACACTTACCAGATTCAGCTACTCTTTTGGTCATTCTGCGACGCTTCACGTTCACCGGTTTGAGCTTATACCGCCCGCACTATCCCTCGATCCTACCGTGATGGTGTTTTGAACTTTACTTGTGTTATGATGCGCTAAGCTTGGATTTAGTGTTGCTTTATAGCTTCTGCCGGGAGACGATTCGCGTTTCGCATTAATATTTCCCGACTCATGAGACTTTCGCTTACGGTTGTGCTTTGGGGATTGCTGGGACTCACCCATGATGCCTTGAGAGTTGTGACGATCAACTGAGATCGACATGTCATTAGACCTAGCGAATCATCCGATAGACTAGGGGCTCTTCCTCCCTCAACCCCGTAGAGGTAGTCTCTGGATACCATCACATCCGGTCTCAGGGGTTGACGACTCATACAAGCTACGACTCCATGGCTAAGCGACCAGGGCTCCGGATGAAGATGAGACGGGCAGAAAGCTTGTGTACGGCAGCATCCGAGGTATCCTCTTCCTAAGAGTATATATCATGCCCTCTCTCCACCCCAAGTTCTGGTCTCTTCTCTTTTTCTCCTCAGGGTCGCTGCGCTTCACTCACTTTACATTCAATTCTTTTCTTTTCCTAAACAAGAGCTGTGCTCTGTTTCCTTCGATTCACTGAAACCTTTTGCTTCTTTTACCAACCAATCTTTAAACTCTTTTTCATCTCTTATTTTCATCACATCATTCAAAATGAAGCCTTCTTCAATTCTCCTTCTCGCCGCTGCCGGCCTTTCGTCCGCTCTGCCGGCTCAGCCCGGCACCGCCAACACCGGTGTCCAGGCCCGGGACAGCCGATCTCTCTTCGGCCATGCCATCAATGCCATTGCTGCCCGCAACCTGGTCCCTCTCAACGCCAACACGGCTGCTCCCCCTCCTGCGGCCGATCCCGCCGCCGGCAAGAAAGAGGCCCCTGCTGCTGCTCCTCCTGCGGCTAAGCCTACGGACAAGAAGGCCGGCGATGACAAGAAGGCTGGCGATGCCAAGGCTACTGATGCCGCCGCGACCACCACTGCCGCTGCTGCTACTACCACTGCCGCCGCCGCCGATGCCGCCGCTACTACCGTTGCTGCCACCACGACCTCCGCGGCCCCGGCCATCGAGACCACCGCCGTCGCCGTCGGTAACGGAACCGCCTCCGATAACGGCAAGGGCAAGGGTAACGGAAAGGGTAACGGCAAGAACAACGGCCAGGGCAAGGGCCAGGGCAAGGGAAAGCATAACAACAACAACAACAACAACAACAACAACAACAACAACAACAACAACAACAACAACAACAACAACAACAACAACAACAACAACAACAATAACAACAACGGCAACAACGCTCTGGGCGCAGCCATCGCCGGCGCCCTCAACACTCTCGGCCTCGACGGTGTCCTAGACGCCAGCTCCCTGGACAAGCTGAGCGTCGGCAGCCAGATCTCTTTGCTGGCCCAGATCGTTTCCCTGCAGACTATGAAGGATCTGCAGATGGTTGGTGGACAGGATATTGTTGTTGTGTTGAACCAGGGCTTTAAGAGCAATGGGCTCAATATTGGTAAGTCTGAACCATGATTCTCTCTTATAAATGTTTAAGTGGTCGGTGTGCTAACGAGGTTTATTAGTTATCAACGCGTAAGGCGGAATGAGAAATGAAGCTTTCGATGGGTAAAATAGGAATGAAATGGAAATGAAACACGACAGGGATTGGAGCTGGTTGATCTAGCATGGAGAGTATGTAAATCATGATAACTTGGAAAAAAAGAATTGTCAATCAACCCGCGCTTCCCATCATGTGAATGTCAAAGCTTTTCTCTCGTGAAATGCGAATATTGCAAGAGTCAAGCTCTAAATATTAAGAGTGCTGCTCGGCCGTTGTCATCTATCATCCAATCTAGTACAATCAACTCAAAACACCGACAAGGTAGGTATAAATCAACGAAAAAAACAGTAAACGTGATTCGATACAATTAAATCATACAAGAAACCATATGTATAGCCCCTTGACAACAAAAAAAAACAAAAAAAGCTATCCTTTCAAAAATATGCCCTCAACCTCATGATTCTTCGCTCCCAACCCACCAGCTCCCCCATGAACTCCCATCCATCCGACCCTTCATCCATTCAATATGATGTGTGATGTCCCTTTTCTCCCCTAAAACACCTGAAAAATAAAAAAAAGAAATTTATATAAACAAACATTCCTACATACCTTTCGTCAATCCGTTCGCTTGCAGAGAAAATATCCCATGAACGTCGCTCATCTTCAACCTAAACACATGGCCATGGCTATCTATTAACCCACCACGGCCTTTTCACTGAGACTCTCGAGAAATCCTCCCAGATCCTCCTTCTTGACTTCCACGACAGAGTGCTCGAAGCTGTCGATTCGGACACGCGCGCTCGTCTCAGAGACGACTTCCTGGAATGCGTTGCCAAACTTGTTCAAGCCGTACCCTCTATCGTTCTCAGCATCTTCGTCATCCGAGTCGTCTTCCGATTCAGACGAGTCTGACGCTTCAGATTCCGTCTCTAGTTCGTCATCATCATCGTTGTCGTCGTTGCCTTGATTCGCAGCTCGTTTAGCCGCACGCTTCTCCTCCCGAATCTTTTCTTTTGCCTTTCGCGCCTCCTCTTTCTTCTTTGCCTTGGCCTCTTTGTTTGATTGCCTCTCTTGCTTAGTAGCCTTGTTCATAAACACGCTATCAGGTCCTCCGCCACCACCAGTACCAACGACGATGTAGACTCCACGCTTCTCGTTCAAGCTCGCCACTACCAGGGGTGTTCCACGACCGCCATGAGACAGCTTTCCCTGGGATTCCTTTTCTTGTTCAGCCAAAGCCTCTCCTATCCAGAGAGCCAGCTTTGTCAAGGCGGCTGGGTGGGTGAAGAGAGCAACATCTGGGCCATCTTTGACGACGCACATGCGGAAAGCACGGAGATGCTTGATTTGCTTCTTGTTGATGAGAGATGTCCCTGTTCGGTAGATTGCGCGGTGCAGGAATTGTGCCGTTGGTAGTCCGGCTTTGAGAGCATCAATACTGTCATAATTCGTTAGCATTTCAATTTCATTTTCCTGCATTGGACTTATAAGTGCAGCTCACTTTTCCAATGCATCATACGCTTCCCAGAAGCGTCCAATATACTCCTCGCCCTGCGCAGTCAACTCTGACTCGTCCTCCACCTCGCGGGTCACTTGGCTTGGTCCTCCGCTCGTTGTTTCCAAAGTCTGAGCATGTTGTCCAACCTCTAGCAGAGCACCAATGATAATGCCAACATCCTGAGCGCTGAGGGTGGCACGCCAACCCCAGCTGCGGACAAAGCCCCATCCATCCTTGGCTCCCGCTCGATCTTTGCCGTCCGTGTCGACCGCTGGGACCATCTCGTCCAAGTTGTATAGAGATCCGTACTTCAAAAGCTTTGCTCTCAGCTCGCGCTTCAGCATCATGTCCATGTGCGTATAGCTCTGTTTGCATTGCGCCAAGCTGACTCCCATCTTGGCGAGAAGCTTGTGAAGCCGCTTGATACCCGCCTCGCTCCAAGTTCTTAGCCTAGAAAAGAGATATGGCGAGTGAAGCATGCTGTCGTAGAGACTCCAGTGTCGGATCAGAAGAAACCTTGGCTCTGGTGACAGGCGAATGCCCGTGTCTTCAGGGTTCCTGGCCGTGGTTGGTATGATGCCATTATTTTCAGGGGCAACTTTTCCGTTTGTCATTTCTGGCGGGTTCAACCTCCGGACCTCATCTCGCAAGAGCTGTCGCAGGCGAGCACCTCGCACGCCAAACCAACCAGACGGCCTCCCACCTCCACCAGAGCGGACGGGGGCGGCCACGCCCGCTGATGACCGTCCGTAAAGCTCCATCGATGTAACTCCTACTATAGCCAGCCAGAGAAGGTCATTGTCATCGCGACCTAGTTCGGAGGCCAACGAGTACATCATGGACGAGATGGGTTCTGCAAAGGACGAGCCCATCCTGTAGTATTGGTGTAGGACGGCTTCTCTTTCTTGTCGCATTCGTAATAATCGCTTTCGCAAGGTACGGGCAGAAACTTTTGGCGGAGGTTGGGCCCCTGATGGAGGCTCGACGGGGTCACTCGACAGCACTGCAGGATCTCGGATTGACAGTAGGCCTCTGGGCTTCGGCCTGCGAGGAGAGCTGGCTATGGAACTTGACTAGGAAGTGTTAGAGATGCATTACCATAATGATGTTCGGGGAGGACGCTTGGGTTTACGTACGGAATTACTTCGTCGCCGTTGGCGAGGCGGCTCTTCCTCGTCGTCACTAGACTCGTCCTCGTTTAAGCTCTTTCTCTTCTGTCCTGCATGAGCTGACTCTTCCTGACCAGAATGGGCTTCATCATCATCCTCATCTTCGCTGGAGTCCTCGTCGCCCTGCTCCTCAATGTCTGGCATATCCAGAAGCGCAAGATACGCATCACGCTCCGTCATGAGATCCCCCTCAATATCGCCGTCGTCAAACACCACGATGCCTCCTTTGCCCGAGTTGTACGATCGATTGATGGCGCCTCCTGTGATTCCCGCCGGGCTCCTCGACTGGTATGAACTCGACACTTGGTTGGCGGGCTCTAGCGGAAAGCCGCCAAAGACGTTGGCCAGGTTCCAAGGCCTATGAGCATCAAAGACCCAGACTTCGACGCCACTGTAGGGAGACTCTTCGCCTTCAGGTTCTAGTCCCAGCAGCGGGCCAAGATCGACCATGCCTCCGACACCGAGGCAGACGACAACTCCTCCACTACCTCCCTTCGACTCCATCATCGGGACCACAAGCTCCCTTCCGGCCTTCTCCAGATCACTGTAGCCCGCGACGGGCTGGATCTTGTGCGGAATGTAGTCATGTTTGAGGAGGCGAGTAAGGATACGGCAAGCGCAAAGAGCGTCCGGTTCGAGCGCGACGAGGATCAAAACGGCCGGGGAGAGAGGATGTCGAGTGTTTTGGAGGTGCGAGTAGAGCTTGGATATGAGAGAACGCGGGAGATACATGGCTCGAGACGGCGGGTATGGATATCTGTATCAAAACCTATAGAAATCCCAATTGGTAGAATAACGGCATGGAATAAAAGCTGAAAGTAAATGCTTCTTTTCTCTTGTTTCCTGGATAGGAGGTAATCACTCCGGAAACGCGCCCAATACTGGCCTGGTCTTGACAGACAAGGGAACTGGCGTTAGACACGGGTCCAAGGCGCATAGCACAATGAAGAATCTAGGAGGACTTTCTTTGGCTCTAAGTTCAAGCTGAGCGAGAAGAGAATATGGAAATAAAAACCAGATGCAGCATATCAATGAGGAAAATAAGAAAAAGAAACAAACAAAAGACAAAATGCTACAAGCAAAATGCTGATGCCGATGCCGATGCTGACGCTGATGCTTAAGCTGTGCTGCTTTTTTTTGTTGTTGAAGAGCTCGAATGTCTGAAGCACACGAGGATGTTTTTGCGCTAGAAGACGCGTGTATGGCCGGGCCATTAAAGAAACGCCCAATTGAGTGACGCGCACCGCGACGGGCAAGTGGGAAGGATCGATGGAGGGGTCCTGCCAAGTGGGGCACGAGTTGACGTGACATGCAGTTTTGTTTGATCCGCGGATTCTGTGAAGCCTCTATTTGCCTAGATATTCCATGATCTATTATTTACATTTTAGCTGTATGAAATACTATTCATTATACTCTTCAATGCTTAATAAAATAATAATAAAAATTCAGGAATGGGGCTACAGCAGCTGCTGCTTACTTTAGTAGTCACCAGCTCACACTAATGCTATTAGCTAACACCCCTGCCCAAAACAATACACACACGCAAACTAAGAGAGCCGCCGCCAAAAGATGCAAAACATCCAGTGCAAAGCAACGACTCAACCTCAACGCAAGGAGGAATCAGCAGAGCAGCCCGCACCAATACAAGTACCCTCTGCCTTTCCTGCAGGCCAAGAAAAGGACGGCCATTTCCGTCCCGTTACCCGCCTAAATCCAAACGCCTTTGGGTCCCCCGGATCTTGAATTTTACGCCCGTCGTGGTTTTTTTAGGTTTTCATTTTTTTCTGATTCGTAAGACGGGGTGTCTGCGTATAGATGCGAGTCAAGCATCAAAATGTGTTTTGCTTCGGGGACCATATTGCCAGCAAACTTGCTTGTCTCGGCCCGTTCGGCTGTCAATTAGATTAAACACTGTCAGCTTAATATAATTCATTGGTGCATATCATTCTCCGGTCCGTATAAACGTAGTTCAAACAGGGAAACGCTGCAGCGCTCTGAGAACCAAGGCGTCTAACCCACACACTCTGGGCTTCTTGGGCTTTTTATTAGGACAGCGTCACACGAGTGGACACCGGGTGGTCGGTGAAAAAACCCGAGCCAAGGCCCTGGGAAAACAATATGCCATGTAACCTGTGCTGATTCAAGGCTTACTTGGTTCCTGTACTTGCACAAGGCACTCATACGTGTACAAACAGGATGAAGTATTGGGAACACAACATGCCCACCCCAGCAAAGTCGTCACGGGAGAAGATAGCCGTCATGAGAATGCGGGCAACAGTCCCTGTATCGTCTCGTATTTTCAAAGGGAGCAAGCCTAGGCTGTGAGGTCGCAATACTAGGCCATCATTACGACTCTAGGCCGTCTCCCTTCCGAAATTAAACTGCGGGCTCCATCTTCTGTGGGAGGAGAAGGAGGAGGGCGAATGCTAGCGCATCACGGCCTGTGTTAGTGACTCCGTACAAGTCATTCTCACCATCTGAATAGCCTGAGTCACTAATTTTGCGGAGCACCAAGCATTGTGTCTAGGAGGAGAGAAGAGGAGAATCAAAGGTCTCTACTAATCATGCGGTCAACAACGGCATCAGAGCCGGACGACGACCTTTGGACTCCCTCCGCCCTTGGGGTGTGGAGGTGTGTCCGGTTATTCTGGCCATGGTACGATGTTGATGGGCTAGCTCGCAGCAGGTATGCGTCTCATGCACGCCTACCCGCCTGTGCGGCAGCCGGGAGAGCGTGCTTGGGACGGAGCCAAGTGTACCTGATGCTGACAGGCAGCTGGAGCTAAGAAGAGGCTGAATGGTTTCGAGCCGAGACATGTGAAGGACAAGGAAGCCAGGAATCAGGAAAATCAGGACCGCAAACAGGACGCCACCAAACTTGGGCCTCCTAGTCCTCGTACACGTATCGTGCTCGTACTGGCAACCACCACTGCACTGCAGCTGCGGGCTTGTCCATGGCCCTGCTCGGGCTAACAAACTGGAACATGGTTCACCGTCCTCGCCAAAAACCCCGCTGCAGCTTCGACGTGCTTGAGAGCGGGTTGGGGGTTCGGATTGCGGATTGGACCAGCGGCTACCGGCTGTTACATCGAGAGACAGCAGATCGCCTTAGACGGAAAAGCAAAGAGTGGGACCCCGGCGTGGATTTCAAGGGAGGGACCAGCGCGGCCAGCAGTCGATTGCCCAACATGAGTAAGGCGTGGAAAGAAGAAATGGTAGGTTTCCCTTTTCTGACAGCTCCCATGGGTCCAAGTTGACGGAGAGGAAACTGTACACATGCAGAAGAGAGAAGAGAAAACGGAGGGAGAGTTGAGAAACAAGGGCGGTGAGAAAGTTGACAGGACCATTGGCGGGCGCCACCAGGACCGCATGTACCGCATGTACCAGCACCAGAATGAAGAGGTACTTGCGGGTGTGCGCATCTAGCAAGGTTCGTGCAGGTAACAAGTACATGCACCTGTCGTACCAAAGAAGCGCGCCTTGCAGGCTGCGGCAGAAACGGAGTGCAGAAGCCGGAGCTTGGCGGAGAAGGGGGAGTGCGCATTGCAAAAACAGAAAATTTGGGTCGAGGTATTATCGAGGCGGAAATCGCAGGTTTGCTCCAAAGTTGCAGCCCAGCGTTGTGCGGCTCAGCTGAAGGATTTCACAAGCCGGCAGCATCCCGCAAGCGGCCAACGGGCTATGACGAGTTACCGACACGACGGTAAGGGCTTACGGGTCTAATTTTGTTTCTTTTTTCCCTTTTTTCTTTACGCTCAGCTCGGAGAAAATATGATAACAAATTACTTTTTTTTTTCCACGTCCCGTCTCATCTCGTGTGCAAGCGGGTGCGAGTCAGACAGACAAAAGAGAGACAAGGCAGATGGGCTGTCGCCAACAAGCGAGAGGTACCAGTACGAGTCGAGTATACTTACATGTACCAGCACCAGCATCCCGGACTCGGCAGTTCCGCTACAAGCGCTCCCTCCAGCCTCAGGTGTGCGTGCGTGCGTTGCGTATTGCTTTGGTGCATATCATACAAGGAGAGCGGACTGTAAATTGCCATCCATTAGTAATTTCACTGAGAACGGCTGACGGCATGGGGGACTTGTGTTTAGTCCAGTCCATGCACAGTAGCCGTTCTGATGGATGGGGGCTCGAAATGCGAGGGCCGCGGATGGACGCATGGAGCCCATCGAAGTTGAGTCCACTGCACTGCACTGCGCTGCACTGCAGAGGTACCCGCTCCATGCTGCTCGTACCTGTACCCGTGCCTGTGCCTGTACCCATACCTGCGCCTGTACCCGCGAGGTACCTGACCCAGCCCGGGGAGGCCCTTCTGGAGCGAAAAAAGGGCACTACCGAGACCTGAGCCTGGAGGATGACACACCGCACCAGACTGTCGGGTCCGGCTGTTGCTGGTTGTGCCACATTTAACCAGAGCGCTGGGCCTGGTTTGCCCTTGGACGGCAGCACTTTTGGGCACAAGAGCCCGAACAAGTTTCTGCAAAGGATGCACCGCTAGAAGAGGCTTGCTAGCCGGTAATATTCTGGAGCTTTTTCGCCAGTGCTAGCAGCAGCCCCAAGGTAACGGGGTCGGTCGTAGTACTGGAGCAGAGCCCAGCCAGCTTGGTGGCTTTCAGGTTTCTGCTGTAGCTCCAAGCTCTGCGCCGTTTTTAGTGCTGGTAGCACTGGTGGGAGAGAGCTGGAGCTGCTTGCTGCCCTAGACTGGGCCAAACAAGACAGGACCGGGGCAGTTTGATGATGGCCGGGCTTGGCGAATAACCACGTCTGTTTTTGTTTCTCAGCTCTGTCTCTGCTCAGTCTCTTTTTCTCTCTTTTCTCTTTGCTTGCCAGTGGTCCCCGGGAGTGTATCCCGTGTCTGGCTCGGTCCAACCAACCAACCAACCCCATTACTCGGTAACACCAGACACCAGTCCATCCCTACTAATACCAACACGCCCCTAGCATCCATAGTTAGGCCAATGGACGCCTTTACCCTCTGTAACAGATTGGATACTTTGGCCCCCAACCTAGCGACCATCCACATTTGCGCGCTGCTCGGCGGAACGGTCCACCGCCTTAGCTGTTTGTGAGCTCTAGCGCCTCGCATGATGGAGTGCACACCACCAAACGAAAATCGCCCATTGTCCCTAGCACCGATTTGCCAGGAATTCGGCTGTCGATGACGGGAAAACGAGACAAAACTAGACAAACAAATGGACGGATTGACACAGCCGTCAGAAGGGAGGAGTATAGTCGTAGCTACAGCATGTGCTTTGCCTTAGTACTCGTACATTTGCACTGACCCTCGCCTCGCTCGCCTGGTCTCGCTTCACTTCGCTTTGCCTTTCCTTGCCTGTCCGCCTCGTAAATCGAGCTATGCTCCGTTCCGTATTGCATCAATGCTCTCTCCTCGCGTAAGTACCTAGGTACCTAGTAGATGGAATGGATCAGATGCGGTGCAATGTACCTTTTTGCTGCACAAGGTTTCGGCCATGGCATCACATCAGGGTCTGAATCCTCCCGATCTTTTTTGTGGCTTCCCAGTGCATCTCCGGCTACCCCTCTTGCAGCCTTTGGGTCAGTCTGTGGCTTCAAGCCTGCACTTTTGCCCCTGCTGGAATGCGTTGCCGTTGCATCCAGCCAATCCAGTGGCATTTCGAGTTCAAATGTATGTTGCCATTCTCGTTCACGTCTCCTCTTCTATCTTAGTAGGCTCTGCTCTAGCTTCAATGTTCTGGCTGTCGGGGCTTTCAATCCAATCCCATCCATCTAGTTTAGCAGCACCCAGTACCCAGTGCCTGGTTTCAATCGCCTACCTCATCTTTTTTTTGTTGGCCGCGTCTGTGTTGTGTCTGCCAAATTCCCCCCTTCATAATATCCATCCCATCCCATCCAAGTTCGCTGCCCCCGCCTTTTGGCCTCCATCTGCTATACTAAAAGTTGCTAGCTAGCTAAAAGTGCAATCTTGCTTGGCAGCTCGTCACTATTCCAGTTTTTTTTTTTTCCCTCCCAAGTCCCGACAGTACGGCGCCCAGGCAAAACGGTAGCTAATGTAATAAGCCACTCTCCACCCGCTACCAGATCTCTGGCTCAGACACCGACCAACAGCACAGCTATAACTCTTTTTGTTTCTTCCAGCCACGCCCTCACGCCCTCGTTTTCCGGGCCTCCACGCCCCCCGGGGATCCTCCTTGCCTCGACGTAGCAGTTGCTGGCAGGGTATCCTCAGGTATCCTCACTGCTAAAACAGAGCAAACTCCCGCCATCCGGCCCCCGAGACTCCAAGGGACCCCCCCATCCCCATCTCTGCTGTACTCCTCCTCCTCACCCCCGACTTGCACTTTGCACCACTCCGTCTCTTCTCGCCCTCTCACTTTCTTCTGTAATCTTTTTAAATTACGAGTACACTAACCTCCCACCTCCGCCATCCCTGCCCCGTGTCTCTGGCCCGAGTTCCCTTGTCTGACGCCGCTATAGCAGCTGTCAGGTCAGTGCTTATGTGCTTGTCTGACCCTCCATCCCAAGCTGCTGGGAATACGGATGATTCTGGCTCAGAATCGCCTCGCATTGGCCAGTTGCCAGTGCCCACCGACCGGTGACGGGACCCAGCCTACTGGGCCTGCAAACTTGTGCGTGCTCAAGCTGTGCCTTTTCCCGTGTCTGTCCGCGGCCGCTGTCTGTCTGGTGCTGGTGCTGGGGGGCGTCTGCTTTCTGCTTTTCATTGCCGCACCCTCTCCTCTCTCAGCCCTTTTTGGCTTGCTGCAAATCACTCGGGGCCCTTCCACTTCTGTGCTAGAATAGATCGACCTTGGCTCCCCGAAACGGAGCCCTTTCACTCATTTCTTTTCTCCCTTTGCAACGCCGACCAGACGCTTGACAGACACTATCCAATTGGCCTCGGGGACTCGTTTCTGACATAAACATTATTATTTGACCCTTTCCCCCTCTCTCGTCTCCTAGTTCAAAGAGCTTCTTCTCATTTCTCTCTCTTTCCTCCCCTCAGAACTCCTCTTCCTACATCTACCTTGATATTAAGAACCTGTCGTTATATACACTTTGGCCGCTATGAGCCTTAATAGTGCACAAGGCCCTCCTGGGTCCGGAGGGGGCGACCATCACGGCTCCAGCGAGGACTCTACGTCAGATTATGCCGAAACCGTGGACTTTTCCGAGTTCACATCCATCGACACCGCCCAGATGGTTCACAGATACAAAAACGGGAGGTATGTCAAGGAATCCCTGACCAAAACGCCCGCTATCCCTCGGGTGGCGAAAAAAAAAGGGAACAGGGGAAAAGAAGGGGAAAAGAAGGAAAAGAGAACAAGACCAAAAAAGAGGAGCCCGAGTCAAGTTCGTGAGAGCTGACCAGTCAATAGGCGGTATCAGGGCTGGTTTGACGAGCGCTATGGACTGCCAAACGACGACACGGAGCAGGCTCGCGAGCACCTCAAACACAGAGTCTACTCCGACTATCTCCTCAACGGCGACTACTTTATTTCACCGATCGGCAACAACCCCCAGAAAATCGTCGATCTAGGCACCGGTGCGGGCTTCTGGCCCATCGATGGTTCGTATCATTCCTTCCCCTTTTGTCAGCTGCTGAGAGCTTCGAAAAATGCTCCCCATCCTCGATTTGAACTCAACTAACCCTCCTCCTACAACAAAGTGGCCGAGAGATACCCGAGTGCTCGTGTCATTGGCAGCGACATTTCTGCCATCCAACCCCCTTGGACACCGCCAAATGCAGAGTTCCGCGTGGAAGATCTCGACGACGAGAGCCGTCCGTGGACAAGAATCTACGCCGGTGCAGACCTCATCCACACAAGGTCCGTCATCCAGACGGTCCGCAACCCCGAACTATTTCTGCAGAGAGCTCTAGAGTACGACAATGACCCTATGCGTTTACCCCTTTGTTTCACTCCTCCCTTCTTTCACACTCCTTTTAGAACAAGAACAGTGGCTGACCGAGTCAAAATAGGGCCTTGAAGCCTGGCGGCTGGCTCGAGTGCCATGATCTCTTCATACCCCTTACCTGGGAAGACGGCACTCCCGCAATCGACCATCCCGTCCAACGCCTCTACGACCTCGTAAACGACGGCCCCTTTGCGCGAAAGTACGGCTGGCAGCTCTACTTCCCCCCGACGCTGCCCCAGGTCCTCCGCCAGATGGGCTTCATCAACGTCCAGGAGCAGCACACGCCCATCCCCGTCGGCCGATGGTCGCGCCGGTCGCGAGACCGCGAGATGGGCATGTTTAACCAAGACAACCTCATCGACTGGACTGCGGCCCTTCTCATCCGGCACGACGACCTGGGCATCACCGAAGAAGAGGCGAGACAGCTGTGTCAGGAGACGCTCATGGCCATGGACAACACAAAGATCCATGCTCGCCTCGACTGGGGCATTGTCTGGGCTCAAAAACCGTTATGATCTTGAGAAGGCAACTACGGCTTTATGAACATTTTACGAAAAAGAACAAAGAATAAGACAAAAAAAAAAGGGATGAAAAGGGGGAAACGGTGACGACTGCACTACACTGGCTTATGGGAAAGAGAAACAAAATCACTCTTTGATACGATTCATCTTGCATGGTGATA